ATTATACGAATCCCGGAAGTCCGGGATAAAAAATCTCAACGGTTGTCGTTTGTGCATCGTTATTGTTAATTTTGACCTTTTTTGTAAGATAGTATAGCGCATCGCTCGATTTCTCGGTTATACATCGTTCAAGCATCAACTGTTTGAAAGGTCATATCGTTTAAGCATCGTCTAATTTACCTGTGCGGCTTGTTTCTGCCCTGTTAGGCTGTGCCAAATTATGGTACATCATTTGTGCACCAATATTATTTGACAATAAAACTCAAAAAAGGTGTACATCCAAAAGCTCAAGTTGTTTTCTAACTTCGATCTTAAAATGTAAATATATATCTTTAAATTACAATTTTCAAATATTGTATAGATATTTATGTTTTAAAATATATTTGTACCGTAGACCGTAGTAATATATGAGTACGTCATAAATTGATTACACTCAAAAACATTGGCTTAAGTTTACTACCGGTGAAATTAACAGGTCTCATTTTGTAAAAATAATGGGACATTCAAGATACCAAGTATTGATTTATAATATTATGTTTAGTGTTTGATTAATTGATTTTTAAGCAATTAATTTTTTATTCATTTTTACTCAAACTATAAGTATACTTATTTATATATTTTTTTGGGGGGGGGCGGGGGTTAAATAGAAATTACCTATGTGTCTCTATTATTTTTAAACTTGAAAATCTTAAATTATTAATTATCCATAAACATTGTGTGTATATTATGCATTATATTTTTTTCATACCCTTCTATTGTTCAGAATATTGATGCTCATTTAATGTACCATATTTTGGCACAGGTAAATTAGACGATGCGCAAATGACATACGGCCAAAAATCCAGAGACAAAAAATCCGAATACATTTATATTGTCAGACAAAATATTCTATTAAATTTTCATCTATAGTTATATTATATAATATTATAATAGGCATATATTATATACAATTTTTACTCTATAGTGATTGATGTCTGTATTAACTTATTTCAAATTATTATTATTGTTATTGTAGTGATCGATGTTTCTACTTTTATAAATTTGTACATGTAGCTATAATATTTGAAAAGCTACCTTTTTTAAAGTTAACAAACAACATAGGTGTCTAGAAATGTAATAGAAGTCTTATAATTTTAAATAAATGTTTGTATTAAAATTTAAAATTAATTGCTGTAAGTAGATACTAGGTACTTACTCGATGACGAAATCCAACAAAATATATAACATAAAAATAATTAATTATTAGAATATTAAAATTAATTACATTTTTCAAATTAATATTAATTATATGTATAGTTATAGCCTACACATGTATAGCAAATAGTATAATCATAATTGAAAATATTATATCATATTTTATATTTTCAGACTTTTTGTCTGATAATAAAAATGTGCTCGGACTTTTAATTCGACAGTAAAATGAATCCGGACTTTTTGTCACACTTTTTTTTTAAATGGACATTTTGTACATTATACATACTAATATATATTTGCAGACTGCAGTTAACAATATACAATTATCTTTGACTCCCAAAATCGCACACTTTATAATGATGTAAAATCTATTATTTACATTTATTTATAAAATACAAATTATTTATAACTTATAAATGTGTTTTAAAATTTAAGATGTTAATTTTAAAACAATTTAAAATGTTCAAAGTTTTTTTCTTAAATTATACCCAACATTTCCATGATTCTTTACTCTAAATGTTCTTTACTTAAAATCGTGTCACTTGCCCCCCTAATATGAACATAAATCATTTAATATACATTTTAATTAAAAATATTTTAATGAAAACAATAAACATTTCACAGGTAGAGCCACGTTTAAACCACTAGGTGAAATCATAAATTCATAAAACTTTACACAAGACTGTCTAATGGCAAGTGGCGACCAGAGACGTGTTAGCATGATTAATAATTATCATAGACGTAACTGCGTAACTAGGAGGGGGGATAAGCCCCCCTATCATAATTTCTATACTCCCGTTTCCCACGAACTGTAGCTACATTAATACATTTTAATTTAAAATATCGTTTTATTTTTTTATTTTAACTGTATAATATAATTTGTATGTGGCGAGTCTGTGTAGTTGTCGATAGAGTAAACACAAAAATAGTCTTCACCCACTACCGAGAAGAATAGACTCACCATTTTGGGTTATAGGGGTCTTTTGCTAAAAACAGAATTGGATTTTGTTATTTATTATATTATCATTTATCATCGTCCTTTGATCTTCCTAAGTACAACGGTTGTGTCAGATAGTTCGTAATCGGGTCAGTTTATTATTATTATCATAAATTATTCAAATTTTGTTTTCTTATGTTTTCAGGCCTTAATAAATGTAAAATAAATTAAATCGAATAAAAATCAGAGCCCCTCCCCACATTTTTTTTTACTGATTATCAACATGCTAAAGTCTATAAAGCCTCCCTTAAATTTAAGGTCTAGACGTCTAGTTACGCCTATGATGATTATTGTTCAGTATCTTATTAACTTATCTATTTTGTTGATTGTAGACACTAAAAATAATGTGCCGTACCTATTTAAGTAATGTTCTGTCTTGAATATACAATTTTTTTTATTAAACCTAAAAATTGTTACTAAAACTTAAAATTGTTTGAAAAAATCTAAAATCTAAATATCTTTAAATAGGTAATATTTAATCTAAATATTTTGAAAATGCATTATGATAATTTAAGCATTATTGATATTGGCTAGTGTTTACGATTAATATTTTTTGAATTGCAACAAAATATCAAAAATCGAAAAATTGTAGTTATTTTATGTGTAAAAATGATTAATACCAATACAATCAAGATTTAAAATTCCATCACTCATATCAGGGGCGAGCTGGTTCAGAGCAGACTGGGATTTTTTTTAAAGCGGCCCAAAAACTGTTGTCTAAGTTATAACTTAATACATTATTACAGATTCTTTAACTACTCCTTATTTTCTCAGTTAAATAATCAATATATAAAATAATAACAGCAGATACATAACACGTTTTAGTAATACGTGGTATTTATGGTAATGATGTCACGGTGAATATTACTGAAAATAATTCTAATACGGGCCTATAATACGTCCGTACACTCGAGTATCTTCGTTTATTTAAAGAGTTATCTAAGTTGTCGTAACCGACATGTTATACGAAACAAACTATTTATTTGCTTATTAATTGTGACTGGGTTTGGCTCATGGAAATGGAAATCTTGCAGCTAGGTTATGGGCAGAACGTAAATAATAATAATAGTATAAAATAAAATGTTTATATTATCGAGTCAAAATAATTATGTTAGGTACTATGATATCCAAAAACTGGAATTTCAGTATAAACATACAAATAGGTAGTTTCTTTTATCTCTAACTATTATAACTTTATAAAGTTAAAAGTTATTTAATAAAGGTATGACACAAATGTATGCTAGTAAATTTGATAATTTAAAACTCTGTTAACCCTAATTTTGTTATTATTTCATATTTTTTATTAGTCGATAACGTAAAACAATGTGTTAATTAATCCTGTATTATCAATGACAAGATATAATTATCACCACTGGTTATCTTGCAGTATTCTCATACAAAACGATGTCGCACGACTTTTTGTTTAGTTGGCGATTCAAGCGCGAACAACGCGCGACAAGCGCAACAATGATGGGATACCTCGATTCGTATGAGAATTTTGCAAAAAATACGATTAGAGTGTTTATTTTTACATTCGAGATAATATTCTAAAAATAACTTTAAAATACCCAGATTTTGAAGTTAGAAAAAAAATTCTAAAAAATCTTCATTGTGGCATCACAGTGAGTATGCGTACGTATACTAATTACCTCACACACTTTAGAAACACCCTGCATAATAAATTAAACATTTTCGTAACTCACATACCTATATCATAAAATCCATCAAAATTTAGTGTTGTTTACATAAGCATACTTACTTCAAACGGATAGCATTTTTATGAGTTGGTAAATTATTTGTGTTCGTATTTTAATTATTATTATTTACAATAAAATAATTAGAGAATTCTAGTACTAGCATTTTATAGTACAAAAATTAAATACATAATATATATATAACAAACACACTCACATATAAATACACTGTACAGTATATATGAATATTTGTTACTTTATTTAAGGTTAGGAATCAACAAACCAAATTCAAATAGGAACATGTCATTTACTGTTTGTAAGTGATTACAAAACAGACTAATAAAACATAAGCTATAAGATGTAATATCAACCAACGCAATATAATGGGTGGCACCTTTAAAAATATTTACACTTTAATAACAATTTATCAATAATATATTAATATGTTATATTAATAAAATATTTTGATGAGGTTGAATAATATGTAAGAAAATATAACATATTTTAAAAAGTATGTTTTTTATTTGTTTCTAATTACTTAAGTCCTAGTAACATTTTTTTTTAAACATTTATTGGTAACTTTATATTGGCATAGTAAGTATATAAGGTGTATAAAAATATCAGAAAAAAGTCCGAGCTTCAGGCTGTAATATAGTAATTGAGATTTTTTTTCAAACCAAATGGAGGAACAAGACTTCTTTGTTTAATACATACAATTATAGTTCATTTTAAGAGATATCTGTATGGTCATGTACATTTTAAATATCTTTGACATGATTGGTGACTCACATTACGATCCATATTTTAGACCCCAACAGAAAGGAAATTTAAATTTAAATACAAGCTGAAGTTCAAGTCTACCTTAGGGTTGCCATTCGTCCCGATTTAGCCGGGACACTACCGGTTTTTACTACAGAGTCCCGATATTTTTCATTTCCCGGCCGGGACGTGGATAAGTACCGGTTTCTTAAAATAAGATTTAAACAATACACATATTAGTAAATAAGTAAGACCACTCTGTTTTAAATTAAAAATTGTGTACCTAATTAATTTTTTTAGATAATTTAAAATTATATTTATGAATAAGATAATAATAATACTATTATTACATTTTGTGCTATTTCTAATTTTAGACTTTCTTATTTATTATAAATTATAATATAATAAAAATATTAAATAACGTTGGACTAAAAAAGGTATTATTAAAAATTCCAAAGAATGTGTTGCGGTGGGGGGGGAGGGTATTATAGTGTCCTGACTTGTATTTTTGTATAAATGGCAACCCTAGTCTACCTATACATATAAGTTGGAAAACAAATATATGTAATTTGTTTAAACATATATGTCAAATTAATTTGGATTTATTTTTTTGTATCTTCAGTTTGTTTTTATGGTATATTACTTTGGCAGATGACATAGTTTCAGATTCTGATTTTGAAGCCTCTAGAAGATTTGAACAAATATGGGGTTCTGGCACCACCGAAGTGTCCTTAGGTTTTACTACAAAAATTTAGTTAATTAACAAATGTACATGGCTATGTAGATATAAGCAAACCTGTTGGTAATTTCTCCAGTTCAATTATTTTCTTTTTAAGTCCCACAATTTCTTGTCTCGTTTTAAACATAGTAATAGCATTATTTTCTTCTTGAACTAGTTGGAATAACATATTAACTTTTGCTTGATAATATTTTTTTAATTCCATGAATTTTTTTTCGATTGACAAATGAAATTCTTGGTAATCGTTATTTAAAGACACAATAGTATGCCTTTGTCTATCATTTATTGCCTAACATGTTTTTAAATTAATAATTATTAAAAAGAAAAAATATACATTTCTTGATATATACTCACATCAAGCTTAGATATTATTTCATCATTTTCTCGTCCAGATTCTTTTAAATCAACAACTTTGATGAAATAATGCACCAACAATTTCTTTAATTCATCTACATTTAAAGTTGACAAACATTTCCAGAAAATTGTTGTTTCGTTTGAATTCTGTAAACAAATAATTCCATGTATAATACAAATTTTTTTTTTAAATACCTATGTGCTATATTATAGTGCATAATGTTGTTATTACCGTTTGAATAAAATGTAATAAATTTGCATCATTATTGCACATTTTGTTTTTTAATTCAATTAAATAATCTATGGAATCAATTGCTTCGTCGTTTTCCAAATATTTTCGAATATCTTCTTTAAATAAATTATTTTCCTTGAAAACAAAAGTATCAACAGAATTACTATCATTTGATTTAACTTATGATTTTCTTTAAAACAAATCATTGATAATACTTGAATATTAATTAAAGTCAAAATTATTATTTGACTATAGTTATGATGAAATTTTTTTCATGTTTATAAAATAAATAAACTTAATATCTTTTTAAATAAAACCCTTGTAAAAACCTTTTGATATTTGGGATTGAACATTCCTTTAGGACGTGAACTTAAAATTTCATTTCTCATATTTTGCAAATCCAAAAATTCTTTTTTAAGATTATCATTTTCAATTAAATTTGATGATGTATGGACTCTACTTTTTTCTACGCTTGATAACACCTGAAATTGCATAAAATGTATAACAGATTTTTTAATTAATCAAATAAAAACTTTAATAAATACTTTACCCCCAAATTAGATAATTTAGTTTTTAATTGATTGATTCGCTTTTCGTGTTGTATTATCAATAATGAAACTTCTTGTTTACTTTTTATTTGGTTATTTAATTGGCCATAAAATATTTTTAAGCGATCATTGGAAGTTTGTAAAGCAAGCTGATATTGTAGTAATCTAAAATAAAATATTCATTAGTATGTATTGAGACAAACTTACAATTCATATATAAATACTTTTCTGTACTATCACTGGCAATTTTTATAATATCATCCATTCTTTTAATTTTATCTTCATATCGTAATAGTCTATCATTGGTTTGCTCCCCGTAATCCTTATCTTTACTAGTTCCATTACCATAATTTGTTTTTGTCATTTTATTAGACTTGTTTAACTGACTTAAAATTTTCATATATTTTTTATTTATTCTATTGTATTCTTTTTGAACTTTTTCTTTTGCATTACATCTGATTTCTGCATAGCTCGCCGTTTCACTGATGAAATTTTTCTAAAACATTTAAATTTCAATGATTTATAATATAATATGTATTATAAAAATTAATAGTTTATAATATGATAAAAATGATAACATAATCACCTTAATTGATATAATGTCTTCTAAGTGTTTAATATTTATTTTTAATCCATCCTCGTTAATAGAAATTATACTCAATTCTTTTTTTTTTAAATTTACTTCTGTTGTTAAAGATTTTAATTCTTCTCGCAGTTTTGTAACATTATCTATGTCATTGTTACTATTAATACAGTCTATTAAAATATGTTGACTTGGATAAAATTCAGAATCTAAAAGCACATAAATCAATTAAAATTTGCCTGACAAATAACTAACCTTTTAACAAAAAATGACATATATATAAGTTATTCAAAATGTTGGCACGGGGAACATTAATATATTATAGGTAATAATTTTTTTTTACCAATAATGTTAATTCTTAATTTGATAAGGTTATATCAGTTTTATCTTATAAATCAATGTTCATAAATTATTATGTTCACTTATTTAGGATGTATTTATACGTTATAGATAAAAATATGGTGATAAAAATGAGACGTAAATAAATGTCATAACTAGGGCTCGGATTTATATGCAAATACATATTTTTACTGTGACTTGATAAATTAATTTAGGTAAATGATAAATTCGTTTCAAGGGATTTCCAATAAAATGAACTATATTTTATTTTACATATTTTTACATATTTTGCCATAAGTACATGTTTTTACATATTTCTCAATAATTCCATTTTTCCTACATATTTCGATAATTTGTTCATTTACGATTTATTATTTATTAATACAGACTTGCCCATGTTTCCAAAAGTACAAAATAATACCAATTTTTAAACTTAATCTAATCTACTGTCGATATATGTTTGATATTTATGACCTCATAAAGATAACTTCAGACATAGTCAACATGCAATATTGTCCTATAACATCAGTCGAAGTTGAGAGACCTTTCAATCGATATAAATCAATTTTACGACATAATCGGCGATCTTTCGAATTCGAAAATTTAAAAATGCATGTCATTATTAATTGTAACCATAATAATTAGATAGTTCGATAAATATTTTTTTTTATTACATTTCATTTTGATTAATAATAATATTTTTTTTTTTTTGATAATACATATTATAAATTTTTTAGCACATATTTATGTACATAATTTTGTTTTTTGATAATACATATTATACATTTTTAGCACATATTTATGTACATATTTTTGTTGTATAAATACATACTTTGGTTAAATAAATACATATAAATCCGAGCCCTAGTCATAACTATAAGGCTCGGATTTATATGTACATACATATTTTCACAATAGCATGATTAACTAATTTTGGCAAGAGATAAATTTGTTTCACAAGGTTTTTGATAAAATAAATAAAGACTTTTTGAGCTATTTATAGGAATAAGAAAATGTTGAGTTTATAATTACTTAAATGATGACTTATAACTCATGCATTTATGATTCTTTTTATCAATTTTCCATTCCTAATCCACTCTCTGAATAGCGCCTGTGTATTTTTAAGTTGCTTCTCAGTGGGTTCAATTTACAATCAGGACTAGTACTTAAATTTTTTTGAGAAAAAGTAAATTAGGTAATGCATTTTTTAAATTGTTGAATAATAAATAATTAAATAAATATTATAATAGTAGTTTAGATAGAGAAGACTTGTATTTGAATATTATAATTATTGACTAATTTAATCAGTAAAATATAGTAAAATTGTAGCCTATAATTATGCCTAACGCCATTATTATTTTTTTTTGCTATTGAATAGTGTTTGCCGTACAGGCCACCAAATATTAATTTTCACCTAGCTGCTCTGAAATCCCAATTCATCCCTGTACATGTATAATTAATAATTGCTTTTGTTAAACTCTATATTCAAAAAGAAAAATAAATAGGTATCTATATAGACAACATTCAAAGTCAATTTACAAGGAACAAAATAATAGGTACCTATTACAATAATTACTTAATGATTTCAACATGTACCATATATTGTATACTATTACTTAATTATTTTAAGTATAACCTATATTATTACTATACAATTCAAATAATTTTCATTAACTATAGTTAGCATTTAAACAACATATATGTATATAGATTAATTAATTTAGCATTGAATGAAAAGGTACCTAATCAATAGTGTGTCTAGAGGTAGGTATAAGAAAATTTACTGAATACCTAGTGAATATTTTTAGTAATGTAGATAAGTACCTACTTAAGCTGTATTTTTTAATTCATTAAGATATTTCTTTTACTTAAGTAGGTAACTTTACCAAAGAATTACTGCCATTCATTTAAAATATTTTAAAAAATAATACTCACAGTCGACATTATGGTTGAGTTCATCAGGTAACTGAGTGATACTTGTTCTGATGACATGGTCAAACCGAAAATTGATATACTTGTTGTAAGTGTTAAACACACTTATTAGCTTTTGATCAAATTTAATTTCATTTATTACACTGTCGATGTCCACACCCATTTTTTTCACACGGCCAAATGGATTGCGAATTGGTAAAGGTTTTAGGTTTTTGGTGAGTAAGTCTGAGGTTGAATTCATGGTGAATAATCCTTCAGATTCAATATAATGCTAATAGAAGTAGAAGTAACTTATAACAGTAGTAACACAGACGTCATAAAGTATTTATTAATAAAACCATAAAATTATAAATATGTTAATAATAATGGTGTACAATTTGTGAGAAATTAGAACAAATAGTACAATCATAAATGCTTATCACGGTGACCGTTATCGTTAGCATCATTCAGGAAAGTCCGTTATCCAGCATTCGCGACTGTTCCTCCTTCCGGTTACGTTTGTCGGCGCCGCCGCGGCGGCGCGCAAATTAATACGCATAATATAAATTCTATAGCTAACAGTATTCTGTTATATCAAATAACAAATATCACGAATCGCAACGGGTGATGGGTCGAATTTTGTCCGTCAACAACTGTTGAAAAATCTTTATGCGTTTACCGTTTACGAGCAACTGCAATCGCGTTTTTTTCTTACAATCGAGCCGAAAATATAACATAATTTATGGATGTCTGCGGTTTGCCGCCTGTGGTCTGCCATCTGCCGTCTGCCGTCTACCGCCTGCGGGTCGGGGATCACCCATGCGGGACACGTGCAGTCTGTCTAGACCAGGGGTGGCTAAACCTGCACAGGCAGTGGATGTACCTAATGTTCATTATTACGAGTTATAAGTTTACGACCGAAAAGAGTAAAATAACAATGATCAAATCTTTCCTCGCCCTTCTAAAAAAAAAAATGTTCCTTTGATCTATGTAATTTATAAGTCAGTGCTTGGGTATGTTAACCATTCTTTTTAAAACTAGGTAGTTGAAATGAAGTTATCATAAAAAATAAGTTGGTTATAAATATAAACGAATTTGAATAACTATAATAAGATAAGTTACATTTTTAGAAAAATATTTATTTAATTAACTTTAAAGTAAAAACCAACTTTTCTTGAATTACTCACAATCTTACGATTAATGTGTACCTACAGGCTACAGTTAAGTTTTGGTGTTTAACAATAGTTGATCGACGATCGTCTGATTCTCAATAGTATAAGTTAAAAAAAGCCCCAAAAAAAAACCAAAGAATCAAAATACTGTAAAAAAAGCCACGTACCCAACTAAACACATAACATTTTTTTATTATAGAGTATATTTTATCATTTTTAATTTTTAAACAATGTATCATTATTTATCTAAACTTCTTTGATATAGGAATCTATAACCATATGTATAACATATAATTTTTATATCATTTTATATCATAATAATATTTAATAAAATATAAACCCAATATTTTAAACTATTTAGGTATAAACCTACATTTGAAATATAAAAGATTTAAGTATATACTATATAGTAATAAAAGTAATTGACAATAGTCTTTATCTTAAAAATGATATTAGAAGATAAAAAAAAAAAATAAATAAATAAATGATATATTTAAAGGTATTTTATTTTATTGTAGACTCTTAGTATTTTAGTATCTACAATATTTTATTATTAAAAATGTGGTTTTTTCGTTTATATAATTATTGCTGTGACTATTTTTATTTAAAATAATAATAATTTAATAATTAATAAAAAACAATTGTTAATATTAATTGATTAATGTTAGGTGTATTAGCTTATTAAATATTATTTTGGGTAGGCGGAAAAAAAGCCCCAAAAAATTAACGCACCTAGGAAAAAAAAGCCCAGATATATAAATATAAATGTAAACACTTGTATATTCTACTCCTAATTAGTAATTACCTTGTACCTTTAACAAAATATCATATATTTATAATATAATATTTATATTATAATACTAATATTTTAGTTTTATTATTATTTTAAATTTTTTCTTTACTTATATACATCTGTTCATACTTTTTTAAATTATACAATATACATACATACATAGTTAAATACATATACATACATAGTTAAATACATATACATACATTCATACATTTTCACGTATTTTTTCATTTGTTTTCTCATAGTACAAATCAATAGTTTATATATGATTAATAGTTATTATAATTTATAATACATNAAAATATCATATATTTATAATATAATATTTATATTATAATACTAATATTTTAGTTTTATTATTATTTTAAATTTTTTCTTTACTTATATACATCTTTTCACGTATTTTTTCATTTGTTTTCTCATAGTACAAATCAATAGTTTATATATGATTAATAGTTATTATAATTTATAATACATAGTTAATATAAAAATATATTATATTTTGTTAAAGGCACAAGGTAATTACTCATTGGGAGTAGAGTAGGTATACAAGTGTTCACATTTATATTTATATTTATATTTCTGGGCTTTTTTCCGCGATTCATTATTTTGATATAAAACTATAAAATGCTATACAAATTACAAATTATTAAACTGCCTAGTGTTTTATATTATATTTATGGTTATGGATTTTTATTAAAGAAGTGTTACACGAATAAATGTAATGATTATATTATTACGATTATATTGAATCATGCAAATCAAAATAAAAAAGAATAATGTATTTAATTTTCACGGGGCTTTTTCTTTCCTAGATTCAAGTATTCATACAGACAAAAAAAAGTTTGACTAATGGGTATCTTTCAGCTGCAGCGTTAAACGTAATAGAAGGAAAAAACAAAGAAAAACCCCGAAAAATAAAAAACTACCAATGAGTAACCACGAATAAAAACCATGTTTTTATATTTAGCTATATTATCTCATTTTTCATGAGACATAAGTTTTAATTTCCTAATTAAAAATTGTAATCAATAATCAAACTTAGAAGGGATCATCTGCCATCAGATATACTCATACTTATAAGTACTCTATAGTATGAGTAAATTAAATTAAAGTTAGATTCTGAGTGTAGCGATGAATGTATTGATTTTACAATGATGTGTGTTTTTTATTTTATTATTTTTTTTTTTTTGTGTCTGTCATCACGGTTTGGGGCAGTAAAAGTGCTTCGATTTTCTTCAACAGACACTTTTCTGGTAAGAAAGTAAATCTTGTTGATGCATTCGGGAGATCAAAATTGAAATTCCCAATAGTTTTCAAAAGCGACTGGAAAACAAACAAAAAATTAAGGAAAACGGGAATTTTTAAGCAAAACCAGTTAAAAAAAAATCTATTTTGGTTTTTAGCGTAACTCTAAAAAGACTTGTTTAATGCTGTTGATGGATATTTTCGTTTTTCATTTTTTTTTTCTATAAATATCGAATAATTGTATTGGTCGAGTCAAAAAGCATGACAATTTATAAAGACTTGATATATTGTTACAATAGCAGTTATAATAATTATAATTATTATTATTTTATCATTTATAAAATTTTTAATTTTTATAGTTAAGGATTGAAAATTAAAAAGAATCTAAAAAACATATGAATGCAGTTATTTTGTACAGACATTTTAAGTTTAAATTTGGATTAGATTGCATATTAACACAAAGAATAACGTTTGTAATTTTGTTGTAATTCGGTCCCAAAACAGCCCGGTTTTACATAAATATATTTAATATTTTTCCAGCATCACTAATAATTTAAGAATAATACTAGTTCAACTTACCGCCTACCATATTAATAATTAGCAATAACAATATACACTATCCTAGACTGATATACCGTCTCTGATCAGAATCGTTTTTCGTGTACAACGATATGATATCATTGAATTCAAATCAGATTTGATACCATCCATTACAGCTTCCTTCTAGACACGTAATTTCGTAATATATAGCAGAGCGACATCCACTTACCAGCTTTTTTTTAAATATATTTTTATTAAATGTTGCATGGCTTATATTAAAACTTAAAAGGTTGGTGAATTAAACAAGTTGGGAAAGCTCACTCTGCGAGAGTGCTAAATTCCCAGTTTCTAAACGTATTTTAATACAACGAAATAAATTATAATTGTATATGATATAACATTATAACTTATGTACAACAGTAATTACTAACATATAGTTAGTCAAATACTCAAATACAGTAAAAATACTACTTTCGTGGCTATATACTTGGTAAACGGAATAAAAATCCCCAACCATAGGAAAAATCCATAGACTCATGCAAATTATTGAACACATATTTTTTTAAACGCTAATTAATGTAATTTATAATTTTGATCATTATTAATATTTAATAACAAATGTATAATTTATATATATACTAAAAATATTTTGTTTTATACTGCAATATAGTATATAATTCTGTAAAATTAAGAAAATACATTTTGTTTAAGTTTCCTTTAACTGTTTTTATATTTATTTTATAATCTTTTAAATATTGCATATATATTAAGTAAAGCTTGAAATAAACACCTCCTAATAATATTATAATTATTAATTACGTTATCCTCAAAATATTATTGGAAACATAATGATATTTTTAATTTTTAATCCTTAACTATAATTATTAAACATTTTTTACATTTTAAGTACGTGTATAATACTACACTATAAGTATGTATTTGTAATTAAATATTTGTAATGTTGGTAACTACATTAATTAGCGTTAAAAAATATTTATATGTGTTAGTGAGAAAAATTGTAGTCTGAGGACTTTTTTTCCTTGAATCGGGGATTTTTTCCGGTGCATATATTCATATACCTATTATACACGTATAGGCCGAATAGCTATACAGGTAAAAATATATAAGATGTTAATTTTTAGCACACCAACAAACTAGAAACTAGATTTTCCCAATACAGGAATAGAATTCTCAAAACATAAAATAACATAGTTAAAATAGTTTTTATGTACATATTTTTAAATACAAATATATATTACCTATGTATATTAAAACTATAATACATAAAACTGTCTGTGTATGATATTATTAATGTTGGATATTTTGATTATATATTACATACATATATTTATTTATCCAAAATTTAAAATTTTGGTTTCGAGGGAATTCAACAGATAGAACATCTGGTTAGTTCGATTATTAGAAAATGAAAACCTAAACTAATGATATAGGTATGTGATAATATAGCAAAATATAAAAATTTGGTTTTTTTCATTTTTTTTAGGGATTGTTATACGTGGGTGTTGAACTTATTACTGTAGTAGTGTAGTCTGTAATAAATGTGTTAGATTTGAATTTATTAATATTTCATTATTTACCTTGAATGGTTATGAACGGAAACGGTCCGTCAGCATATGTTACGAAGTATATCATGTATATCTATATCATATAATATATGTCATATATCATATTAATTAATATAATTATTGTCAAAAACATTTTTGCACATATTATAATATTAATTGCTTATATTTAATTTGTCGGTTCCAGTTGACACTACTTACGAGGAACTTTTTTTTACAAATTTCATGTGTTAGCTTTGAAAATTGAATATTTTATACAATTTTTATCACAAAATTATTTGAAAATTGTCGTAATTTTGTCAAAACTTGAAATATAAAAACTTCTAAGGTATTTAATTAATACTGGTGTTATTAAGATTAATAATAAATTTCATCAGTGGCGTGCCCAAGGGGGGGGGGAGGTTAGGGGTTACCCCCCCCCCCATTGACTTTTTTTGTTGACTTCAACTTATTAGATATTACCATAGACATATATAAACATTTATATATGTCTATGGATATTACTTTTAAACATTTATAACATATATCCCCCCCATTGAAATTTCCTGTGCACGCCACTGAATTTCATATTTTTATATTATTTTCATATTTCTTATTGTAAAGACGTATAATTGTATAAGTATAGATGACACCATGCCTGATGCGTTTTCTCCATCTTACAAATGCAGAATATAGCAAATTGTACGTTCTGAATAATTCATGCTAATCTGCTGTTTAGAGTAAACCATTTTTAACTGGTTTGAGGGGTTTAATATCTTATATCCATTGTCAGTTATGTGTGTGACTGTGTGTGTAGTAACTGATCATTAGTGTGCGTGAGTTCCAAGAACGATTTATGTAATTATCAAGGCTAGGATTTATATGCAACAGCATGTTTTGTTTGAGACTTCTAATTGTTGATTTTGTCAGTAATATCCAAGAAATGATGAGATAAATGATGGTTTACTGAGCGTAAATTTGCTATAATGTTGCAGTGTAACAGTGATGCAATTGTAAGGAGACAACAAATGCTAGTGTGCCCGTTTATCAAGTATCAACACCGTTTTTTTAATTGATATTTTAAGTTCAAATTTGTACGAAATTAGATATTTAAATGTAAAGTTTTCAGAAAAAATAATTCAATATATTAGGTATATTATTAATAGTAAAATAAATTATCTTAATGAAGTAAAATATACTTAGTAATAAAGCTTATAGATGAAAAACAATTATTTTATATTTATATATTTTTTTTATATTTTATATTTTATAGTTTAAATGTAACAGATATATCCATTACAGTAACCTACGCAACACCTAATGTCAGTAGAACAGCAGGTACACTTGTCCATTTTTTTTTCATTTATTAAAGGTAGTGGATTTTCAACGTTGAGTGCGTGGTGTCTGTTAGTACATTTGCTACTTATTTATACCAGGGATCTTATTCCCACTGTTCTAATGTTCTACACTAAGGACTCAAAAGTGAATAACAATAATATTTTATATAATAGAAATATAGACTATTATAAATTATAACAATTAACTTCAATGAAAGTAATAAATGCAATTTTTTTGACAAAAATTAAATCAACCTTCCGTAATACCAACAAATAGGTGATAGCAATATCATTAAATATACGTCCTGACATAGTCTGACAGACTATATCTCCATTTTCCGCTCAGAATCGTCTTTCATAAACAATTATAAATCGCTGAATTCAAATTTAACACATCCATCAAAGTGACCTACTTGTCTGCACCTAGCTGCACTTAACTGCACCTCATCCTTGATTGTATATAGCAGAGCGGTATCCACTTGCCCAGTTTTATCCAAAAAAAAAATGTTTTATTGTGAATATATTTTTGAGTTATATGGTGGTACTACAGTCAAATCTTAAATAAATGTAAAATTATACATATATTATAAATAGTATAAATAGTTATTTAATCACTATATAATATGTTTAATGTTTATTATTTGATTATTTCGCTTTTTTGCTTTCAATATTTTTCAGTACAAGTGTACAACATTTTTTTCATATACGTATAAAGTTTTAACGGAATTGAATATTCAAACGAAGATAAATTATTTTTTTTAAGGATATTACTAATTAATACACTTAGTTACTAAGTTACTAGATTTCTTTTTTTAATAAGGGTAAAAAAACTTGTAAAGAATCTTGTATTACATGTTTAAATCTTAGATATGAATAGAAAATTTTTTATGAATTTCTAACTAAATAAAATTTGCTAACTTTTGTGATTTTAACAAATTTTGTCAAAATTCTAAATTTAAACGCTCATAAAAAATTACAATGGATTTACGCTCAACTTTTTTTTTAAATTTCCAATAACAACAACTTACTAGGAACCTTATATCACATTTTCAAGTTATTTGACAGAGCGAAAAATTTTTCATCGACTTGAGTTTAAAAAAAAACAAAGAATAATTGAAAATGTCATATGCCTATATAAATAGTGCAACACAAATCAAAATAATTTGAAAATTGTATGGTGTGTAGAAAATTGCCTACACAAATATATGCACCAACTAGATCTAATTTCCTATCAGACAATCTGCTATTTAGAAAATCGAAGCACTTTTACTGCAAGAAACCGTGATGACGGACTCAAAAAAAAAAAAAAATTAATAAATAAATAAATATAAAAACACACATCATAGTAAAATCAATACATTCATCGCTCCGCTCAGAATCTAAAATAATATGTATATTTCACGATGCGGTGCTGTAGCAACGTGACTGAGTATATGAAATATATATATGTATGTATAGCTGCCAATATGTATTTATAATAAAAATATTTTTATTTTTATCGTGTCCTCAAAATCTATTCTCGTGCCATGATTTTACCATTACTATGTTCTATACTATTATTTTCTATACACTATTCAATTTTCAAAATATTTAAAATAAATTAAGGCCAATTAGACCACAAACAGGGTATTTATACACTGTTCTATTTACATCACCGTGGTATTGACTTAAACACAAAATATAAGTGAACTAATAATTAAAGTAGTGATAAGTGTGACAAATTTGAAACTTCATACTACTACCTACATTTAAAATCGTTCTTCTAAGTTGAACTTTATCGGTTATGATAGTGATGTAGGTAAGTAAGACATTTCCAAGAAAACATGTTATTGTTTTTTTTATTTACATTAATTTTGTTGTGATAAAATAGCAATACTGCGAAAATACAACCACTGCCCAAATATTAAATATTACCATTACATCTGTTAGTATTAATTATGATTAAAAACAAAATATTTAAATTAATAACATTTGAACGGTATGTTATGAAATAAAGTCAAAAATTAAATGAATATTTCTAATTTATACACGCTTTAGGTAGAAAAAGTGAGATCTCTATTGTAAAATTTAATTTTTAAATTTCTTGATTATTAATTTTTTGAATTTTTACATCACTAGTTATGGCTATTAACAAACCTATTGCTACACTCTACACACCACGACAAATGCAAAACGACATGATTTGTAAATACTTATTTTATAGGTAGGCACCGAGTATATCTAGTACCTATCTTAAATACTTTAAAGTCAATGAGGAGCATACAAATTTGCTTTGATGATTTGAAAATTATATTAATCCATTTGGTAGGTCTTAATAACTTTTTTAAATTGTATGATTATAAATGCAATCAACACCTATTTCATATTTTATGCATAACGTTTAATAACACAGAAATGATACTCTCAGCTTACGAAAATAAAACACTAGGAGCCGACTCTCTTATATTGTATTGTAGATACTTCTAATTTATTTACGGAAATAAAATTATGTAAAAAAGATATGCATAATGATTGATATTGACCGTAATTAACATATTAAAATAAAACGTTACCTAAGCTGTCTTTGTTTTTAGGCACTAACCGTGCTTAATAATAATCCGCAGTGTTATGAACATATTTTTGGGCAGTTTGTTAATACATTCTGTAAATTTCCTATTGCGATGATCTGTTCTCTTGCTTCTTTTAAAATACTGGCTAATGCGTCGATTGGTTTTTGCATGATCGAAGACATCTAATAATAAAAATTGAAAATTAATATTAAGTTACACGAAATACAAATTTGGAGTTTGTCACAAACGACAGTGCGGGTTATGTATTTACATGTTTTAGTTGGTCGTTTTCAAAACAAGAATATGCCTCGATTTTAGATATTTGATTTTGAAGTTTATTGATGGTATTTAAGTATTCCTCAGCTGGTGCTTTTAAAATACGACGTAATTCATTTATTTTCAATTTTGTTTCGGATTTTATGTTGCCTAACACAGATTTTTGTTGATACTTATATGTTTTTATTTCATCACAGCAACGTAGTTTTTCTGCTAAGATCTTTTCCAATTTTTTTTGTTTGATTCTATACACCAATACAACATATACATATACATATTACATATACATATTATACAGTTAATTTATACATTTATCTTTATAGATATCAATCATAAACTCTAGGCAATAAAATGATTTTATTAATTTTTTTTTGGATTAGTTACTGCAGACAACGAATTTTAATTTCTCGTTAGATGGATGCCTCTAAAATAACTTTATTTTATAACATATATCCGAGTGTAAGTGAAGTAGGTAGACTTTAGACTATAAATAATAAAGTTATTATTTGATTTGTATTCACATACTTCAGATGTTGGGTTTTAGACTTCAATAATTGATTCTTGTCAAGAGAGTCATTACAAGCATCATTTCCCAGCTATGTATAAACAATATATTATTAAGTAAACACTAATAATTTAAATTAATCATGAGAGTGGCATTACAATTGTCTTTAGCTTTTTACTGAGAATTTCAACATTTTGTTCCATCGAAGTTCTTAATTCTTTTTCAAAGATCATTTTTTTTTGAACTGCATGTAACGCAGCTGGCAAAAATTCTACTTGGCTTACCCGTTTTTTGAAATATTCCTGTAACAAATTAGGTACAACATATTATTCAGATTTTTTTAAAAATATTTATTGAAAATTGAACACTTAAAGGCTGATCAATAATTTTATGTGAACAAATTCAAAATGTATAATAGGTATAAATTACTAGGTATAACTCACTTTATGACGATTGAATTCAGATTCAAATTCCGCCTTGAGCTTCGCCTTTTCTTTGTACAGGTTTTTAGATCGGACTATTTGATACTCTTTTTCTTGAAGACCCTTCATGTACTATAAAGAACAATATTAACTATACAAAATCTTATTAAATTGGTTATTTTATTTAAAACTCGAACCGATTCATTTGTAGCGTTTAATATGTCAATTTGATGTTCGGCCTCCAATTTCAAACTATCCAAACGGTCTTTGGCTTCTTTAAATTCTTTTCGTACAATCTCCATATCATCATAAGGATTCTAAAGTTAATTTTAAAATATTAATAGGTATTGTGATAATTGAACTGTTTATTTAGTTTACCGATTCTATCTGTTTTAATTTTGTGACTGCATTGTAAAATTCTTCTTGCGTCTTCATTAATTTTGCATTATTGTTTTGCATTTCTTCTGTTTTAATGTCTGATAGTACCCGGTATTTTGAGATTTCTAATACAACTTTACTTTATAGAAATAAAAAAAAACAGTTCATAAGCTAATTTTTGATGTGCAGACGATTATGGTATTATATTAATGAGAGTAAATGTAGTTAAATAAAATATAGGTACTCAAATGTATCTTTCATTGTGTTATATTGTTCGCATAGTTCTTCGCTCAACTTTTTGTTTATGTTATCTTCATTATTTGACTCCTAACAAAATAACCAGCTTTAACTTTTAAACAATAATATTTTAATTAGGTACCTAAGTCTTCACATACAGAACAATTAGACTTGGTATTGTTTCCAGCTAAATTTAGCTGATTGCGGTTATTTTTCAAGCCATTTAATACCGTTCTTAACTTCAAAATTTCTCTCGTCATTACATCTAGTTTGAAATCCTCAACGAAAAATAAATAATAATAGTATAATGTATATTGTATAGTATAATGTATATATAATCATAGGTTAGATCGTAGTATAAAATCACTCTATAAAATGCATTTATTTAATACCATTTCCTTTTTTCCGGGAAATATCACTTCACCAGTTTTTGTTTGTCTAAAAGGCTTCTATAAAAAGTAAAAACATAATAATTAATATACATACTTATACTGTAAATACTATCAAGAAACAAAATTTGTTTGTAAAAAATAAATGTAAACATACCCTTCTTTGTAACAATTTTGTCATTGCACAACCTTTATTAATCTATAAATTAAAAAAATATAATTATGTATAATATCATCATTTTTAATCAAAACATACATCTTCTTCCAATTTCAATTTTATATTTAAATTCTGGTGTTTCAATATTGCTATTTGTAATCTTAAATCATTTAAAGTGTTCTCAATCGTTTCGTTTCTTATATCCACTTTTATTTCATTTTTGCATCTATCGCCCATTATAATTTTTTATACTAATTTTTTTAATATAAAATAAAATGAATTGATTAATTTTAATAATGAATTAAAATGTATGTTAATACATGATATAACATTATACTAATTACCACGGGGATTGTATTTTATATACATAACATATAAAAAAGTAAATATATATATATACACTTTTTTATCGGTTTAAAATTAAAATTATTATTATTATTGGCCAGCTAATTTTACAGTTAGAATTTACATTTGTTTTATAATTTTTTATGAAAATCAACTGTTCTGCTTTACTATTTACTGTCGAAGAGGTTTAGTATTCGTATAGCTAAGAGCATTATATTCGTATCTATTTAAACAATTTAAATTGATAGATTTATACATCATAAATCGTACATATTTTATCTAATTATTTATTTTTTATTTTAAGTGTAAAGTCATTACTACTTAAAAGTTACACTGGTATGGTTTTTTAATGTTTAAATATAATAATATAATATAATAATAATAGTATAATATTATAATTCATTATAATAAAATTAACAATAAACAAGTGTGATATACAGTATACGAGTATACCTACACGATATCCTATGAAAGAAAACAAAAATTATTTGTTTCATGAATCATGACAGAATGAGGAATTTTTGCTGAAGACATTTCGACCCGAGTTTAACAAAATGTTAATAAATTGTTAATAATAAGCTAATGAGTAATAAATTAGATAAATTATCAGAATTTATTTTAAATTCTGAGAGTACCTAGTGATGAATTAATTAATCTTACAACGATGAGTGTAATGAGTGCTTTTTTTCTTTCTATCATCAACATTTGGGATAGTAGAAATGTTCCAACTCTTCACATCAGTATCTTTTCGGATAGAAAAGTGAATCAAGTTAGTACCTTTATGAGGTCAAAATTGAAAATGTCTAGTAGTTTTTAAAAGCATCGGGAAAAACAAAAAATAAATTTTAAAAATGGTAACTTTTATTCAAAACCAATGTTTGAAAAAATCGATTTTATATTTTTGGCTAAACCCAAAAACTAATTACCGTACACACTGGAAAATATTCACCAAATATTTAGACTAGCTCTTTTGAGCTATTAAAGCCATGAAAAATTTTTCTTGACGAAAAACGTTTTCACTCAGTAAAAAAACTTCAACATTTAATGCAAGGTTTCTCATTTGTGTATTTAATGAAAGTTCGAAAATATTAAAAATGATCCTTGGTTATTTTGTATATGCATTAAAAGTTCAAATGTCACTTTTATCAAAATCTCGAAAATGTTCAAATTATATTTCGGTTGGAAATGCGTCAACATTTTCTTTCTAAAACTAACATTTAATGGAAGATTCCCCACAAAATGTTCTACTTAAAAAAAAAGTATACTGGAAAGTAACATTATTTGTTTATGAGCGTTTAAATTTAAAATGTGTACGATATTGAATTTCACAGGTAAATTAACGAATTTCTATCTATAGATTTTTGATATGTTGCTGCAATTCAAAAACAAATAACCTTAGATACTTGAAATTTTTACAAAATATTTTTATTGTCATTTTCTATACAAGATAGAATTTTCAAAATATTTGTTGACTGTTTTAGTGCTATATATAGCCATGAGAAATTTTAAATTATAATTTTTTTTTTTTCAACAATTAAATTTGATTGTTTATACTAGTATGCTAGGATGACACATCTCCGCTCAAAATTGTTTTTTGTATGTAATCATTGAATATAAATAAAACATATCCACTACAAAAAGTTTATTCATTAGGTCGAGGAACTTGTAAGTTTTCATTACTACATGTCTACATTATTATTTTCTACTGTACAAAATAGCATTTTTTAAATGTTTGGTTTCATTTTAGCTCTTTATATCACGAATTTATTCACGTATTCGTTCTATTGTATATCTAATGTACACGTATTAGGTACTGTATACGCGGGTATTGGCGTATTGTCTTATAACTTAAAACTTATAAGTGATGTATCAATAACAGCTAGTAAAAAGTGAACCTAATATAAATTATTTAATTATTTCATATTTCATATTGTATAATAATTAGATACTACCTATGGCATAAATTTTATGATTTGTTCTTGACAAACATTAATTCAACCCACCGTGTTGCAATAGAAAAATAACAAAATCAACGTAAACCAAAATATTTTATATTTTAAAAAAATACTTAAAACTCAATACCTACTGTACAGCCGTATTCAATGGATATACATATATTGAATTCAAATTTAACACATCATCCATTACACGATGTTATGAGGTATACAGTTTTAATAATCTAAGTCATAAAACAGTGGTATATAGTTAATTACCTTATCAATGACGTGGTAAATTCGACACCCCGGAGAATGTTTGTAATTTTTTAATTTTAATTTTACAATGTTTCCCATTAGTATACATACAGCCATATTGGTAATAGGTATCTATAGTATTGCAAACGCATAAAGCATCATCGACATAATATACTATACAAGACAAATTATTATAGACGATAGCCGATAGTAAGCATAATAAAATCAACCATAATTTTTTAGATGTGAATAAATTGTACATTTACACCTGTATATTATACAAAATAATATAGAGAAAATAAATGCAAATCATAAAATTCGCGTTTACGGATACAATTATACGTGATAGACAATAAAATGATGACGATGAAGCAAAATATTTATCATATTAATATCATTATAATACGTTGCTTGGATTATGACGTGCGTCGCTACGATGTTTTTGATAAATGATAACACGTTAACCATGATAATACAGAAATAACAGTTTCTTTATTATTCGAGTTCATAGCTTCTTTCTTATTAACTTCTTAGTGTCTAACATAATCATATAATATTCAATATAAATTTGTACAATTCTAATTTTCGGGTATTGTTAACTGTTAATTTTATCAAGTTTATTAACGAAGCATTTACTTAAAATGTTGCTAAAAGTACATTGCTATTTTCTAAGCTTTTTAGGGATTAGCTATATCACTCATGTTGTATAATTATTATTCCATCTGTTTCTTAAAATATAGAGCATCTAGTCATCTAACTCAGGAATTTAGTTGATAATATTTAATAAAATTGAAAGTAAGTTTACACATGTTAATGAAGATTTGAGTAGTTTTTAATTGTTTTTATATTTTGTATACTTACCTATCATAACAAAGTAATTGGTTGTTGCTATTTGTTTCCATTAAATTATTATTTTCTCTCATTTACTGTCGAAATAATAACAATGTGTTGCTATTATTTTAATATTCAACTATTTTAAATAACTCTTTAGGTAAAAGGTATTATTTGTTATGAGAAATAATGAATTTCATATGAATATTATTTTGTTGTAGATAATTAAAATGCTGAGATACAGAGGAAAAAAATTAGCACTTAATATTGTAAAAGAATTGGATTCATTTCCTAAGGTTCAAGAAGAAATTTATGAACCATCTACTTATAGTAATGTTATACGTAAGATATCATAAATAAAATAAATAATTTGCTTTATTAGTAGGGTAGTTGAAACAAAATATTTTCTTATCTTAATTACCAGAAAATGTAGTACATTTATATTTAACATGTTGATTTAAAGTTTAAAGTTCTTTTATAAATTTGAAGTAGAACTAAACAACCTATGATTATTAAATTGTTAAATTGTTTAAAAACTAGTTGTATTATTATGATTTTCAGTGACAGTTTTGATTTCTATATTTGGATTATGGTTATTAATTTCTGAAGTTCAGTATGTTTTACAAGAACATTATATATACAGATTTGTACCAGACACGGACTATGAATCTAAACTTCCAATAAACATAGATATTACAGTTGCATCAACTTGTGACAGTAATGTTTTTGTTGTTTTTAAAATAAAATAGGGTTAAAACTTAAATTTGTATAATTTTTTTCAGGTATAGGTGCTGATATTGTTGATACAACGGGACAAAATATGATGTTATTTGGAGAATTAAAAACTGATGATACTTGGTGGGAAATGACAAAAGAACAGAAACAACATTTTGAAAAAATGCGCGAATTCAATGCATATTTAAGAGAAGAATATCATTCAATGAAAGACATATTATGGATGTTTGATAATTATAATACATTAAAAAATAAAATTTCTGTTAGGTAAGTTGTAAATATATTGATACTGAAAAGGAATATAATAATATTTATGACGGGTTGCATAAGCAATTACTAAATATTGAATTAATCAATAGTGAGCTATTTTTCCCTTTAATTTAATTTAGTGGCCTTTGAAATAAATCCATAACATATTAATGAACCATTGAATCGATCAAGTTTTTTATAAAATTAGGAATTAACTATCAAAATATTATTTTCATTATTGGAAAACAATTTTCATCATCACTGTTTATTGGTGAACAATTAGTAACGTAATCGTATACATAATATATTATTGTGTACACACCATTTTAGAATTGTGATTGGATTGTATATTAGTTTTTGCTTTATTATTGTAAAATATTAATTGAAGAATCTAATGTTCTAAACTTTAATAATATAACTATTTTATTAAGAAGAACTAAAAAAATAATTTAAAAAGTATAAATGTTGATTTTTAATATGCTTCATTATTTTTGACATTTTTTCAAAATTCATTTAAAAAAAATTTTTACATAGGTATTTAATTTATTCCACATTATATTTTTCATACATTTAGTACTTATGCAAGGAAATTAAAACAATTTTTTTTTTAATTTTTCAGAACCGAAAAACCAAACACTTTACCTGATGCGTGTCGCATACATGGGTCATTAATTCTGAATAAAGTGATAGGAAATTTCCACATAACTCCTGGGAAATCTCTAATAGTTCCGGGCGGCCATGTACATCTTACTGGTCCATTTTTCGGATCAGGGGCTACTAACTTTTCTCATCGAATCAATCAATTTTCATTTGGTGTACCAACAAAAGGGATAATGTATCCATTAGAAGGAGAACTGTATGAAACAAATGAAAGTAAAAAAATATTTTTTGTTTTACATTGATATGATTTTTTACTTTAATTAATTTACAATTGTATTTGATGTAGATGCTGTATCCTATAAATATTTCATAGATGTGGTAGCTACAGATGTTAAATCACATTCAAATGAAATAAAAACTTATCAGTACTCAGCAAAAGATATACAAAGAAAAATTGATCATAATTCTGGTTGGTGTAATAACTAGGGCCAAGATTTTTATAGAAATGCATATTTTTCTATACTTGACTCAGAGTAATAATGATAATGATAATATATCAACATTTAATAATGCCCTATGTTTTATAGTACTATTCTACAGTTCATTTTTATTTTTACATACTTGAGTAAACATATTTGAGTATAAACATTAAGAGGACGTGATACCCGCATGTGTTGTCTCCGTCTTACAAGTGCGTATCATACCAAATTTTACTCTCTCTTATAAGAGGTCAATTCGCACTAATTTTTAAACTAACGGAGCTGCACGTGTTCTGCTGAGCGTAAAATTTGGTATGGCACGCACTTGTAAGACGGAGACAACACATGCGGGTATCATGTCCTCTTAAATAAAATAATTTAAATTTCTCCTAAAGGTTTATTTACATTTTTACTGTAAGCTATTTTTAGCCTAAAATAATCAAGATATTGGCCACTTCAATTTATAATTTGCTCTTAATGTCACTTCAATTTTTTTCATATCAAGTTAAAAATAATTTAAAACAATTAAAATCTATACATTTTTAATACTTTACCATTTTTGGAAGTATATTTATGCATTAACATATGTATATTATACATCTTAGGTATTCTTTCTGTGTTTTTGAAATTTTGTCTGCATACTGTTAAATATTTATCGTTTAAAAATCTGGGAATTGATAATTAATTCAGGAGTTTTAAGAAAATGTATAATTATGCGCACATAGTACATGGCTAACTCATTAAAACAAAATTTATAATATAAAAAAAGGTCAAAAATATTTTTTAATTATGATTAAAAATATTGCTATCCAACAGAGGCACAAATACCCTTGCTTAATCATGCAATGGTAAAATTCTCTGTATATTAGGTCTCTAGTTTATTGATGCATCTATATTTCTACAACTAAATTAAGATTTATATTGTAGGGAGTCACGGTATGCCTGGTATATATTTTCAATATGATATAAATGCACTCAAATTTATCATCACAGAAAATAGAATTACCATGTTTCATTTAATTATTGAAATAGCATCAACCATTGGGGGTTTGTTTTTATTGTTTAGTAAGTATAATGACAAATGACAATAATATTAGGTATATTATTAACAAAACTTATTTATAACAATTGTTTTTTAACAGATTTTATGAAGATAATATTAGACAAGTTCACAAAAAAAGTATATTCCTTCTTTACAACTGATAACATTGTTACAAGAGAAAAGTCCTTAGATTATAAATAACAATCTATTATAACATAATATACAACTTACTAATATATTATTAATAATAATAATAATAAATTGATTTGTACTCAAATTATTTTTTTTATGTTTAAATTTTTTTTCTATATCCTGGATATAAAAATGTATTGGGTGCTACTCCAGCCAATTTAAAACAGACATTTATTCTTTGTAACATGTATTTTTTGTATTATTGACCATTCATTTATTTAAACAAATTGCATGCAATAACTCAAATAATAAAACATGAAGTATATATTATTATAAATTATTGTAAAATATTACATTAAAAATGTTAATTGTAACTTAATGCAAAAATAATTGAAAATTGACAAAACTTATGAAGGACTGATTGATTGACAGTTTAACATTAAGCATAACATTTAAATGTCCATTGTGAAAACTTCTCCCAGAAAAGTGTTTTTCTTTAAAAATTATAAAACTATATTAAATTTAAATGTTTTTCATCTTTGTTTGATTTTTTTTGTGCTGTCCTTTTTTATTTTTTTTAATATCGCGGGTCTTAATATAGTTTAAGTATCTTCTGAAATGCATTTGTATTTTCCGAGCTGCTATCTTGCGTTGTATTTCATGTAACTTTGCGTGCCAAATTCTATCATTTTCTTCTTCTTTTTCAAGTACCACATTATTGTAAAACGGCATCTGAAGTGAAATGGATTCCTAAAAAATAAAAAACTAATTCCTAACCAATCATCAATAATCATACTCTTAGCTGAATTTAGCTAGGTTAATTATTGTATTGTTCAGTTCTTCTGATAGCAACACTAATCCATTTTTATCCGATATCCAAACCAAACTAATGTTAATTTTTTTTAATAATTTATCCTATGTTTATAAATAACTGCTTCAAGAAAACTGTTTGTTTGCTCATGAGTCATGACGTGCTCATTACAAATATAGAGTTACTAATTATAATTTTAGTATGACAGTAGGTAATCAAAGATCACCTCTCCTTACAATGATTATGGTTTGTTCTATAGACTAGGATAATCCAATGATGACTGTATACTATGTTCAGTAATTACTCTAACTATATATAATAATTAAACATTGTGTTAAGATAAACAAAATATGTTGTCACTTATAAAACTGTTCATTATTCACTATTAAAATAATACACCTAGTTAATGCTCAATGAGCTTTCTAGTATTCTATTAAATATCCAACATCAGTTTAATTTAAAGTACCTACCTACTCAGCATTGAACTTTTTTGAGAATGTTTTATTATTAATCTAATAATTAGGTACTATTAACAGTGTATGCTGTAGGCTGTGTTGTAGTGATGGCCTTGGAAGATTTGGAAGGTACTGTTAACTATTCAACTAAATGTTGACTTTATTCTAACTTGATAATTCATTATCATCTTTTTATTTAAATTCAGATAAGTTTTCATATATTATTACAGTTACATTTGTCCTCTTTTTTTCTATTGATAAAATTAATATGCCTTTGTATTTATGTACCTACCTTAAACCCATTGACTAACACCTATACAAGTACAAGGTCAGGCTTTGGGCAGTATTTTAGATACAATTGTATCTTGTATTATCTAAATTAAATTATAAGAAATGTCATCAAAAGATACTCGATACATTAAAGCGATACTTTGAAACATTAATTTTTAGTGACTAGTAATTTACCCAACGTATGGTTACTGACTATGGGGTTACTCTACTAAGGAGGAAGGGTGGCCAAATGGTCGATCTTGGACGATATCTAAGTTGATCCCCTTATTAAATTTTTCAACTTATTAGTCATTGTTACCTATACATTTGAATTTAGTAGATAGACTTATTAAATACATATTTCGGATTAATCTATTAGTGTGAAATGGCATTTTCTGCTTATGCAAGTTATAAAAGCTGAATAGGACAATAGATACCAAGCTTTACTTACTGATGATCGTTTGGAGCCGGTACCGGCAACCCGCGGTCCGCGGAAATTTTTCTACTGCCTTCAAAATATATGAAAACAAGGGTTTTTAATCTTGCATTTATTACCGATATAACAACTTTATTTAATGAACACGAAACTGCAATGTAAAGACAAATTATTGCCAGATATGTATTCAGATATAAAATCAATTCAAGTGAAATAAAAATTATTACTCAAACGTCTCAAACATATTAATGAAGTGGATCATTTCGTATGTTGTAAAATTATAATCGAATCGTCCAAATCAACTTCGTATTGGAAATTTATAAAAATAAATTTTTTAAATATAATCGAAAACTTACAAAAATTAATTTTCAATCCGATTTTCCGACTTTTGACGTACATGATAAGAAAAATCAAGTTGTTTCAAAACCTTTTTTTTGTGGAAATTAACGATGTTGGACATAATATTTTATTAATGGAATACATATAACTGCTGAATAGCGATACTCTCAAAACCGCTTTTAAAGAAAATAATGAATTAAAAATATTTTAGTCAAGTCTTTTCGAAATAGATTTTAAAGAATTATGAAGTTTTTCTAAAAAAATAATTACTGCTTTTGACTCTTGGTAATACTTATCTATGTGAGCAGACATTTTCAATAGTTAAATAAAGAAGAAAAAAATACTGTTCACAAAATATCAACATCCAAATGAAAGCAGATATAAAGGAATAGTGGGAAAAATTCAACATCAAATATCATATTAGAATTTAATTAGAATTTATTTTAAAATATTTATACCCTTTAACACTCAAGAATTTAACAAAAAGTTCAACAAAAAAAACTTTTTAATTGACCTTATTTTATTATTTTTATACTTTTTCATTAATTACCTACCTACTTGCAATAACATAAACATTTTTCCAGTTTTAATTGTTTTTTAATACGTAATAATAATTTCATTGTATTTTTTTCATACCTATTCAATTTGAATCGGTAATTACCTAATTTCAATTTCAAATAACATAATTAATGGTTTGCATTATGTAATAGCATTTATTTATCTTGACAGTTGACATATTTTATAGTAAGCACTAAGCAGTGGCGCGTACCAATAGGGTGGCATGACGGGCAAGTGCCACAGGCCCAGGGCCCCAGAATGCCGGGGAGGATCCTTCAAAAAATGTGGCAATTTAAAAAAAAAAAATAAAAAAACTTATTTTTCTTCTACTTTCCAATTTCATCAATTGTTCTTATTGTTCTTTTTGTAACAGATTGAATAAAACATTTATAAACAAAAAAAAAAAAATTTAAATAAAACAGATTCCCGTTAATACAGAATTTTAGTTATTAATAAGTTCTAGTAAAATTAAATCACTTTAAAGTAAAATAAATGTAATAACTAGAAAAATAACTGATACACGCTTGTAGGTCGATTATAGATTATATTTTTATGTGCAGCGTTTGCCCGCATACGCGCGGTGATTGCGATATTACTATATTAGTATAGATATATAAATATAATAATTATTCTGAAACAGAAATAACAAGAAAACGCACTCTATATTTAGAGTATAACCTTAAATCTATGGTCTAGGATACCGTATTGAAGTCTCAGAAAGTCAGAAGTCTGTTGATTTCTCGATTCGTTATCAATTATCATTTGTCATATTATACACTATACAGTCTATTATATTGCCCAGCTGAAAATCGAAATAGCCGTCGTTTTTCGATATTATTTTGTCATTAGTCTGTTATACTGTCATCAGTTGTGAGTCGTCGTCACTCGTTGAACCAAATAATTAATATTGTGATCATGTCGAAAAAAGTACCTAGTGGCTATGAAAAGCGCAAAAAAAATGGAAGAACAAGAAAAAGTATCAAAACTGCCTAAAATAAGTGGTTATTTATAATATTTAAAAAATAAAAAAATAAGATTCATATTATGTGTAACAAAAAATGACTATATTATTCATAATATTATAATAAATATGCTTTTAATTATTTATTACCTTTTATAGCAGGGGTGGGTCTAGATATAAATTGTGTGAGTAAGTGCATGCTCTTCATATCACAAATTTGTAAGACCAAGGCCTAGGGCCTGCTGGATTTTTTTGCCACGGGCAATCGATGTTTTAGTTACGCCACTGATAGTAAGTAACAAGTATTTTATACATTTTATATGTTTACATATTTACATACAAATTTAAAGTGTTTATATTGTGATACTATGAGAAAACAGTCACAAATATAAGGTTATACGTTTAGATACAGTATGCAAAAACAAAAATGTTACAATTTGCCTATCCAGCCATGTAGGTCTGGACACGCTTATAGCGTCATAGAACACGAATCAAAAAATTGTATGGAAAAAAAATATTGATGAGAACGAAAGTTACTGCATTTGTCAAGTCTTCAAATAATACCTGTGCAGCGATGGAGGGGGTAGAGGGGGATAGATTCTCCTCATGACCTTTTTTCAATGTTTAAGAGAATGTCAGTGCAATGTTTGTATTTTCTCTCAGACTTACACGCAACATAGATAAAACATTTTCATCTAAAATTGTTTTTCTTTATGGTTTTTAAGTAACCTTAGAGTAAAATCACCTTTTGCAAAAATTAAAGATGATAATATTGTTGAGGGTATGACATATCGGTTTTATATTTTTAATTTTATTATTATTTGACTTTCAAAATAAAAAAAAAATTTTCATTTAAATCATGTTTAAAAGGTTTAGAGACAAAATGTAGAAAATCGATATGTAGTTCCCTCAAAAATATTATTTTATATCGATTTTTAATAGGTGATTTTACTCAAAGATAACTCAAAACCATAAAATGATTCTGTGTAAATGCGTTTTGTCTATATTGCGCATGGGCCAGAGAGGGAAAACAAACAGTGCTCTGACATCCTCTTAAGAGCTGATAACTATAAATATAAATTATAATCAAATAGTGTATGTTAAAAAAACAGTCATACCCCCCCCCCCCCTTAACAAAATCATTTGACTCCCACTGCACCGTATATATTATCATTGAGTAGGTATATACTAGTTTATAGCCTTATAGGTACTCATTGATATTATATAATAATAGTATATTGACGTAACTGTGCAAGTAAACATAGCTATACAGAAATTCCTCCATTCTACTCACTTGCAATTGATAAATGGTATCTTCAATTGTTTTTATTTTTGAATTAAATCCATTCATGTTATTGTATTTTGCCATCATCTCGGAATCGTACGTTTGCACTATTTTAGCTTTTCTGATTTTTAAATCATTCCTAATATATTAAAATACATTTTTATATTCGATTTACATAATTAACTAAAAATAATTAAGTGCAAAATGCATATAATATTATATTATTTAGGTTCAATTTATTTCCTTATAATATATTGTTCTTGTCGCTACTTGCCAGTGCCTACCTGGTGAAACTCCATTCAACAATAATAATAAAGACAATTCAAAACTTAAATAAACAATATTTTTAAATTAAATTCTTAGGTACATATTGGTACCAAAATACATGTGTATTTACCTGATTTGCATACGGCTATTTTTGTTAATCTCGTTATTTTTTGCGTTTGACTCAATTTTTGATAGCAAACTGTTTGCATCTAATTGTAAATTCACAATTTTATGTTCATGTTCTTTCATTGCCGCTACAATTATGGCTTCCGATTTCATTCTAAAAAAATAATATTTATGGGTGATTAGGTATCTATATAATTATAATTTACTATACATTGCAATGTGCACATCTGACTTTGGTATGTTCTTAGTTAGTAGGTAATCGGTAAATTATTTTTAATTTTAATTTGTTAGTTATGACCTTTTGAAGTTCGCAATTTTTAGTATTTTACGCCTACGCTACAGATTATTCCACGAATATACTCGAAAAAAGTAAACTTTTAAACTTTATTAAACAGTAGGCAGGTATGTGATTATTTATTTTAATGTGTGCATACATTTATGCATATTACAAGCACCTACCTACATTACACAAAACACAATGGTTGGGCTGAGAGGTTTTTATGATGTAAAACAACATTTTTTTTTGTGCAGCGATGGGATAAATGTTTCAATCCCCTCACCACAACAAACATAACCAAATTTCTATACTGTTTCTATAATGTGAGCATGATTGTAGGAAGTAGGCACCTACCTACCTACAGAAACTTTATTGCATAACAAATTTATTTATTTCAATCCCAATAGTTTGAACACTGATTTAAACGAATTAACAAATTAATTCTAGTTACAGAAATCACATTAGTATTTACAATTTTACATTTAGTATTAGTAAGTACCTATATTAATTAAATAATAATTAATAATTGCATTTTTACAGTAGTAAAATAATTATTGGTATTATGTTTAAAATTTGTTTTTTTTAAAATTATGTTGCCCTTGATATTAATAGTTGATCTCGGGCTTAAGTTAAAATATTCATTAATTATAATTTATAAAGCTCGGGTGTACTCGGACTACTCAGTGGATCATGGATTTATAAATCAACCGTGTTATAAGGTATTATATATATAGCTCCTAACAATAAAATATTTAGTAAGTAGGAAAATAAGATAAATAAATATATAGATATTTTATTATAATGAAATATACAAACATTTTTTTTTTCATGACAAATTGTAATTGTCGATCTACAACGTTGAAATAATGTTCAATTTGATTTTTTCTTCCGATTTTTGCCTGAACGTCAAACTTAATTTGTTCATACTTTCTATGTTCCTTATTCAATGCAAAACGTTTATAATCGGCGATGTTATGGAAATCGCTTTTTAATTTTTGTTTAAAAATCGCTTTGGCGTCCGCTTCCAATTCTTGAGTTACTCCAGTAACAAATTGGATGCTTAAACGTACGTTATGTTTCACCGTCAAGGAATTCTTTAACATAATAAACTTGTTGTATAATAACATTATGCGTCGTCGAATTATTTTAGATTCTGTCATTCTGAGCGGATCGATGAATATATTGTGTCTAAATTGATATGTGTATTTTTTCAAAACGTTTATTTTTGTAAACATATTTTATAGTAGAAATAATGCTTTGATTTTCCACTTCAGTATCTTTTCTGATGGTGAAGTAAATCATCCACCGTTAAAACTTTTAAGAGGATAAAATTTTTAATTCTTTTTTGCTAGCCAGTTTTTTACATTTGAGATTCTGATTAGAGGAAAGAATGAATATTAATATTTAACATCGATTTCTTTTTAAGTACCTATTCAAAACAACTTTTAAAAAAATGTTCAATAGTTTTCTAGATTAAAACCAAGTTTGAAATTTAGATTTAAATAAATACCACGTTTTTTTATACCACAATGTGTGTTTTATTATTTATTTATTTTTGTGTCAGTGTACGCGCTAAGCAGTTGAAATAATACTTTGAGTTTCAACTTCAGTATCTTTTCTAGTTGGTGCATTATTAATTTAAAATATTTAAAATTTAAAATTCCTAGCAGTTTTCAAAAACTACGGGAAAAACAAAAAAAATTAAAACCAGGGACGTGGGTAAACACAATGCCATACATTAGGTGTCTAGACTTCTAGAGAGAGTCACTAAAATGTCAGTGTTCAATTTTAATTCACTAATAAATATTATTGTATTCAAAAAAATATAGCCTATACAAAATTACCAAGTTATGATAGTATGATGTATGACGTATTTAGTTGTGCAGAAGGTGAAATTAATTTTTACGAAAAACATTGCATTTGAAAATGTCATTATGTGTACTGGATATTATACAATATATCTGGACGCACTCTAAAAGTCTCAAATTGCCACGAATAATATATTTAAATTACAATAAAATAACTTAAGTTATTATTCTTGGTAATAATTTCGTCTAAATTTGAACTTACGATGTCTGTCAAAAATCTATTGCTTCTTTATTCTTTAGATTTTTTGGTTACAGTATGGAATATTTATGAGAATCCATGTCTTATGAATTTTCAATTCTTAGTTATAAAAATTGAACATCTTATAGTATTTTAACTACAAAGTACTTTGCAAACTGTCTAATTCTGGTAAAAATTTGAACCTTATAAATACAGAAATACTTATAAAATAAAATCTTGTCTACGAAGCTAAGAATTCTCAACTGCTATTATAATATTACTTATGGGGGCGCCGTGTATTAAATTTTCAAGCTATTTGACACAATTAATACAATTTTATTGATATTTTTAGAATAAAAAAATTTTGAAAAATTTTAAATTTTAAATGTTTATAAAATAACTCAAAACGAGTCAAAATATTTTGAAAAATGTATCATGTACAGAAAATGATGAAATGAACATTTAACTACAATATTAAGTACCTATAGTTATTATTTTTTGAATAACAACAAAATAAGAAAATTATTTTATCAGAGTTTGTTAATTTAATAGTTAATTCGACGACCAACCATTAAAAAATTAATTTGATTTTGCAGTAAAACATTTTTTTGTTCAATATAAGAAAACTTAAGAGGAATCTAGTAATACATTTTCAAATCTTAGATGTAAATATTATAAAAGGAACATTTTTTATGAATTTCTAACTCAAAATAATTTACAAGTTTTATCAAAATTCAAAATTTAGTTTTTCATAAAAAATTGTTGTGAATTTAAGCTCATTTTTTATTTAATTCTCAACAACAACTGACGAGAAACCTTGTATTACGTAAATTTACACGTTTTTTGATCAAGCATGCAAACATTTTTCTATCGACATTTGTTTTAAAAAAACTAATAAGTAATAATAAACTAAATTCATATGTTTATAGTCATGGTGTGTTGAAAATGCGAATATAAACATTCAGTAAAAATTTCACGTATTTACAGGAATTTTTTAAATGTACTCCAAAAACCAAAATCGATTTTGTCAACAAATAATTTTGATTAAAAATCTAATATTTTTCTTAATTTTTTATTGGTTTTTCCTGATGCTTTTCAAAATTATTGAGAATTTTTTACTTCTGATCCCACAAAGTACCAACTAGATTGCATTCATATCAGAAAAAATGCTGTTGGGTGGGTTTTCGAAATAATATTTTGGTTTTTGGTTTAACTCTTGGTGTCAATAAAATTACCGAGGATACATTGATAATTTGTTAATTTTCACTGAATATGTTTAAGCCATCATTTTTTATTCAACTTACAATTTTAAAAATATTTTGATTCATGTTGAGCTTTCTAAATAGGCATATAAATTTTTTTATTGATTAATGTCGATAAATAAATTTTGCTTCGTTAAAAAACTTAAAAATTTAATACACGGTTCCTCGTAATAAATTTTTGTTAGTGGAAATTGAATTTGAAGCTGGAATTTGCTGGAAATGTCCGTCAACAGCTTAAAACGAGTCAAAATATTTTGAAAATTTTATCATTATATGAATTTATGAAATAAATAAACTGATGCGAATTTCAAGTGTCTATAGTTATTCGTTTTTAAATTACAACAAAATAAGAAAATTGCTACATGAGAAATTGAGTGAATATCCAATGTTGTAAAAGTTTCAACTTCAAACGCTCATAAAAATTTAATTTGATTTTCCTTAAGAATTTTTTTTTTTTGACTAGGGATACAGACTTATAAGAAATCTTGTATTATATTTTTAAATCTTAGATATAAAAAAAAATTTTTTTATGAATTTCTACTCTAACTAATTTGCTAATTATCTTGATTTTTAAGAATTTTGTCAAAATTCTAAGTTGAAACGCTCGTAAAAAAGTACTGTATATTTAAATGAACTTTTTTTAAATTTCCACCAAGAACAACTTACGAGGAATCTTGTATTACATTTTCAAGTTTTTTAACAGAAAACAATTTTTTATCTACAGTAGTTTAAAAAAACAAATCAAAATCGAAAATTTTATATGCCTATAAATAGTTCTAACGTGTCAAAATATTTTGAAAATTGTATGGTGTATAGAAAATTTTAACACGAGCATTCAGTGAAAATTTCATGTATCTACTGTCGTTTTTTTAGAGTTACACTAAAAACCAAAATTGATCTTTTCAAAAGCTGGTTTTGCTTAAAAATTCCCGTTTTTCCTTTATTTTTTGTTCGTTTTTCCTGTCACTCTTGAAAACTATTGGGAAATTTAAATTTTGACTTCCCAAATACACCAACTAGATTACATTTTCTACCAGGAAAATTTCTGTTGAAGAAAATCGAAGCACTTTTCTTGCCCCAAACCGTGATGAGTACTGATGACAGACACACAAAAAGCACACATCATTAATCAATACATGCAATACATACACAAATTAATACATTCATCGCTTCGCTAAGAATTCAAAATGTAATATTAATATTTAAAAAATAATTAATATGCAATGATATAGTCAAAAATGTAATCAATTTACCATAATAGTATAATAGTTAATAAAATAAATTTCGTGTGTTTCTGGAGACAAAAATATAAGTGCACGTTGTTCTAAAATCAATAGTACTTTGCTACAGCAAAATGTTAAATTAGTTTTTAATTTAAATTTTCTCAAATATAAATTACAATACTGGTGTATCAATAAAATAATATATTTGAACATTATTTACTACATTAATACCTATTAATTTATAATTAGTTACTTAATGGCTAATATCTATACGATAATTAATATTATACTACTATACTAGTTTTTCTCTCTCACTGTAGAATTTATATATATATAATATATCATATTATATTTTATATTATTCATTATAGACATAATACTATTTATATATATATAAGTATAAAGGGTAACTATAATAGAAAATATATTACTCACATTGGACAAATATTTTGCGTTGCTCATAAAATTGTTCAAACAAGGGAGAATTGTATTTTTCGTTTCTTTGAAATATACGTTATGGTTGTCCATTTACAACGCAACTATGTAGATTTATTATAGCAAAGATTGTACATATACCTATTGTATCTTTGTAAGTTGTAAGTGCAGACTTTGATAAATCTTAGGCGTTTTTGAATTTTCAGAACAAGTATAAGAACCTAGTTACCGTTCACCATAAATATTAAAAACTTTACTTAGGCACCTACCAACGATACAACTTATACCTACACAAACAGCAAGGTGTTATTGATTTAACATAGAAGACGATAACCACGAGTATCCATGACTGTTTCGTTAAGTCATATTCGCATTTGTTTAAGTACCTACCTTCCAAATTCTTTTTCCATGCATATATTTATATAGTATAAATTATCTATAGTTGCCTACTTACCTGCATGTCTATTCACTATTGGCTACATTGTTATTCTATATGACCATATTGTGCTTGTGCCTACATGAATGACGATAAAAACATGCATTTGGATTTGAGGGGTTGAGGGGTACATCTAGCTGGGTCATTCCCAGATGAATATTTTATAATGTCAGTTTAAATTGTTACGGTGGTCGCTAAAGTACCTATAAAAATACTTTATACAGTTTAATACACCTATGACCTATCCCGCACTATAGGTAATAATCAGGAGTGTCATTTAAACTTTTTTAAGGATAGTGACAACATTTTTTCAGACCGTTTCAAATCATTGCCGAGTTACATAGACACCTTGGGGGGGTTAAGTGGGAACAAAAAAAAAGGCTATTTGAATAATTTATTTAATATAATTTCACTTTTATTATTTATGAGTTTTCTTATTATCACAATACAACGAATAGATAATATTATTAAGTCCCAACAACCTACTGGCGTCGGGTGATTATAGGTTGGAGGTATCTTGGAGAGAGCCGCCCAAATAATAACATTCGTAAAAATGGCGGGTTTTCTCGCTAGACTAATCCAAAAGCATAATTAATATATTATGAGTTATGACTGTTCTGTGCTACAAGACGAGTAGCTATTTACCAAGACGTGTCTGGTACAATTTTAGATTCTGAGCGGAGCGATGAATGTATTGATTTTACAATGATGATGATGTGTGTTTTTATATTTATTTATTTATCATTTTATTTTTGTGTTTGTCATCACGGAATCTTGCAGTAAAAGTGCTTCGATTTTCTTAAATAGCAGCTTTTCTGGTAGGAAAGTGAATCTAGTTGGTGCATTCAGAAGGTCAAAAATTTTTAATTCCTGATAGTTTTCAAAAGCAACAGAAAAAACAAATAAAAAATTAAGGAAACACGGGCATTTTCATGCAAAACCAGTTTCGAACAAATCGATTTTGGTTTTAAGTGTATAAATCTAACAAAAATAACCGTAGATATATACAATTTTCAAATTATTTTGATTTGTGTTGCACTATTTGTCTATTTATACATGCATATGAAATTTTCAATTATTATTTGTTTTTTTTAAACTAAAATTTTCGCTAGATCAAAAAACTTGTAAATGTAATACGCAAGGTTCCTTGTTAGTTTTTGTTAATGGAAATCAAAACAAAAATTGAGCGTAAATTTACAACAATTTTTGATGAGTGTTTAAACCTTAGAATTTTTATAAAATTCGTAAAACTCACCAAAATTTATTTAGTTAGAAATTCATAAAAAATTTTCTATTTATATCTAAAATTTAAAAATGTAGTACAATATTCCTTACGAGTTTTTCGACCTTTGAATTGGAAAAACAACATTGGATATTCACTCGATTTCTCTTGTATAGCGATTTTCTTATTTTGTTGTAATTCAGAAACAAATTACTGTAGAAACTTGAAATTTACACCATATGGTTATTTCATTATATAGGTAAGTACTTGATAACATTTTCAAAATATTTTGACTCGTTTTAATCTGTTGACGGACATATTTTTCAAATTTCATTTTTTTTTTTTCTATAAATGTCAATCACTTTTTATTGGCGGTCGGCAGGGTCAAAAAGCACGACATTGTAATACAAGACTCTTGATAATTTTGTTACAATAGCAGTTGAAAATCAGAATCGTTTTTTTATATACAATGATTTGATATCATTGAATTCAAACTTAATACCGTTTATAACAGCGACCGCCTAGACACCTAATGTGCAGCAGAGCAGAGCTTGCGCTAAAGAAATATAAGAGTTGCACATACTGTTTGTTTTACAGAAGTAAAAAAAAATGAAGTTCGCTTCGCTCTCACATAATGAATAATACATACTATCATACATATTAAATAATATTATATTATACATTTATACGTCATAATATATGAATATTAACAATTAAAATAACAAATTCCTTTAATCAAATTTTAAAATGATTTTATTTTTTATGACAACCTCTTCATCAGTATCGCCGCTATCACCACAGTTTTAGAACCGTTGTATGCCCGTAGTTTTAATCTTTTGATAATCATAAATAAATAGGTATTAACAATAACAATGTTTTAATCATAATTTCTAATAATTTCAGAAATCAAAATGTCAAATGGTTACAAGGTCATAGACATAATATAAAATTAATTATTAAAAATTCAAATCATAATATTTTGTATGAACTGCATAACATTTAAATTTAGAACTGCACATTTTATGCACAACTGCACATTAGCGCAAGCTTTGCAGCAGAGCGATATCCACTAACCCGCTTTCATAATATTGCATTACTGCCCAGACTAACAATCTATGCACTTTTGGCTAATATTGAGAGCGGCCTCACACTCATTCTTATGAATTATACCTAGTATAAAAATTATATTATGACAAAATAGATCTATTTTGCCATGGATAATGTTGTTTTGGTTGAAGATCAATTATAATATTACCAAATCACATTGAATATTTTTTGAAATAAAACACATAAGCACAATACCTACTTTTTTTTAAATACTAAAAAACTTAAAAATTAATAAATAAATAATAGTATGAATCACTCAGGTATATTACCAGTTATATACTTATTACTTATATTTATTTTTGTCAGGCGAAAGGTTTAAAAAAAAAAATTGGTGCAAATGAACATCCTGCATCCCCCCTCCCCCCGTCCCAAGACACCCCTGCTGCCAATAGATATCTACCTAGCTTTGATTCCGCTCTTATTCGTTCAATTTTCGACTAGGTACATTATGGATCGATCGTATTTTCGTATCGAAATAAAAATTAGTTTAAAAGGTGCAGAAGCACATCCTCCCAAAAATTAAACTTCCTAAACATTATGAAACATATAGATGTATTATGACTTTGTCAACCAGTCATAGATGCGCTAAATAATTTAACTCCTGTTAGTCGTCTAAAGGCTGAAATTAACTATTCATTAAAATTCAGGGTAAGATAAATGTACCAAGGCTATTTGAACGTATAAGCCTTAGACCTTTCATATCCAAACTTTGGGTTGAATGATCAGTGGTACGGATAAGCAGATTTTCGATGTATAGATTAGGTACTCAATGTAAAATATTACTTTATTGGTATGTGCTTCTAAAATAACTAGAAAACCAAATTAAACGTATTCATAATTAGGTATAACTTATTTTTGATAGTTCATAGAAAAAAATTGTTATGATGTCAGAATGAATTATTTATCTCTGCAATGCCTGCAGATGCATCATGCGAGGTTAATACAGAAAATTAAATTGGACGTCAATAGGATCTATGGACTTAAGAAATTTTGTTATTTAAGAATATTAATTGTATTGTTATAATATATCTAAAGATATTGAATTTCAAGTTGACGAATATTCAGAAATTTAAATATTGAATTTTAATAAGAACATAGATCTGAATTTGAACTTAAAGTTAGTACTTTTAGTATTAAATCTATCTATATTAAAATAGGCTAGGTATTTTATAATGCTTTATGTACTAAATGTAGGAATATGAATACATAAAAGGCTTTAAATTCAAAACAACTTAATAGTTTTGTACCTATCAGAAACAATGCATATTATTTTGAAAGATAAAAATATTTTATTTTGTAAATAGTATTCCTATTTAAACAATTCAATACTCCATTGAATATTAAAATATTGTATTGGTTTTTTTTTTCTTTAGATATGTTTAGGTTCTACCTATCAATTCAAAGTGTAACAGTATAAGAAACTGAAAATTATTTCCTTAAGAACGAAAATGAAGAATTGAAAAGTAATTTATTGAAGCTATCTGTTGCATATTCTTATGAAACTATATGCAACAATGATGAGTTGGTTAATGTTTATACTGGTTTACCAAGCTACATACTTTAAAAAAAAAAATTTGAGAGGAGAGGGAAGTATAAACATTTGTTAATATTTAAATATTATTATTAAAATAATTGTTTAGTAATCAGGGTTACTAAAATAAAAGACAATCTCATGAGTCTCAGCTTAGAATTGTTTTGTATTATAAACAATTATACTATGATAAATACATCGTTAAATTCAAATTGTACACATAATGTATGTATCTACAATCATTAGATAAGACCACAGGTGTATCAAATTAAAAACTAGTAAATTACTACTAAATAATCCTCACTTATTATAATATTTAATGCAATTTTTTTTCTCAAATCAACTTAACTCATTCATGAAAGTTATGACACTTAAAATGTTCATTAATTTATTTTAACTCAATTGAAAAAAAGTTGACTTAAGAAAATTGCATTTCTTTGTCTTGCTTAAGCTGAAATAATAAAATTAATTTAATCCAAAAGATGGAATGTATAAAAATCACTGAATTATTTATATTATAGCAAGAAAAAGGAATACACAAAAACAAATATATTCTAACATGCTTAACTTCTCAAATGATTTATAAATTATACATATAAAATTGAATTATAACTAATAATTAATTTAGTAGTTTACAAATTTAACATTAATAGAACGACGAGTTACAGTAATAAGTTTAAATAGGCTATAATAATATATAATAAAATGTAATATTCAAAATATTAATTAAATTATATATACGATATACGTATACTATACTATAATATATGTATATTGTATATGGTAACAAAGCTATCTTTAGGTTGTGCAAAAAATATTTATTCCAATGTTAATTATGCTTTGTGAACCATTGTAAATAAATATATAATAAACAGATGTATGTATACTATGTATACTGTAGCTAAAAAATTGCCTAAGTTATTGAGAACAAATTTTTATTTTGTAATATATGTATACATTTTTTTATACCACATCAAAAATACAAAAGTAACTATTATTTACTGTGAGGAACACATAAAATCTTAAAAAGAAAAGGCATCAAATTAAAATGCACAATACAATACTTAAAATTTTTAAACTTAAAAAAGTAATAAAATACAAAATGAGAAATGAAATACAATTTTATGATAATGGTTTAACTTATTTTTTTCTTATCAGTTCATTTGCAATGTCATAAGCAGAAGTTCTTTGTCTCAACACTACAATGACATTGTGCAGTTTTAGTGCTGGTCCGAGAGGAATGTTTAATTTATTTGTCAAATCTTCTTTAGTTAACATTAAAAATACATCACCATCAATTTCCTTTATTTAAAAAAAAATAGAGTAAATAATATAAATGTTAATATTATATACTATATGATAAAAATAAAAATAAAATATTTATACCTGATTTATAAAAGGTTTAGATATTTTGATTAGTTCAGAGGGATCATTGTCTGTGTAATTATTAGATACTATTTTTTCGACAAAAGTAGCTACTTCTTCGACAGACCATTTTCTTACATCAGAAATATTAAACAATGGTATACCTTGTAGAACATTATGTCTGACCCACACATTAAGCCTTGGTTGTTTAAAAGAGCCATAACCATAGCTGGTATAGTCATTATCACCTTTAATCATTTCTAAATCGTCCATTGCTTCAATAACTCTTTTATAAACAGTTTTAGAACGTCCACTTGGTATCTTTTTATTAAAATTCTTTTTTAATCTATACCAAACATAAATTGTTTTAATGATATTTTTTTTTATATAATTATTTATGAGTATATTACTTGTTGTTGACTCTTCTTATTTTGGGTTTATTTAAGTTGTAACTTTTCATTTTATTTAACTTAGATTTTTGTTTTTTCTTATTCTCTCTACGTATAATCATAGGTTTTGAACTCCTTGATACACATTTAAATTTATATTAAACAATAAATTATACATGTATGAAGTAAAAACATTAAAACATTTAGATGAAAACAATATTTTTTATTCACCTTGCCACTGAAACTGGAATGTCATCAGGTTTTAATCTATCAGGAGTGTGGGTCGTCCTAGAAATTGATTTATTCCAAGACTCAAATTCATATGGACAATCTTTGGCAAATACATGAGTATTTTTGGAACTATTTGAATTGCCTTTACCATTACAACCAGGAACTCTGCAACTCCAGAGTTCTGCACTTACTAAAAATAAATAAACAAATTTATAAATTAATTAAATTTGTATTTTGTCTGTAGGAACTTTTTCAACTAAAAAAATGTCCCAATCATCAACTTTGAGGCATATTTCAGATAACACATTTAATTTAATTCAGTAGGTCAAAAGTAGAAACATTTCTATAATTAGAAAAATAATCAGAGAAAAATGAGCGTTAATTTATAAAATTTTAATATTATTATTAAATAAATTGTTTGGTAACTTAGGTTACTAAAAAGTTGGCCCATCCATCTTGGCACACTCTTTCTTGTTTATTATATACAGTGATTGGAAATTTAACAAATCCATTACAGTGACCTTCTCTCAAAGACAATACCTACTGTATAGCAGAAGAGTTACCTACTTGATTTTTTTTTTCAATGTCGAATGCCCAATAATTAAATTTATAAGAATTAATTAAAATATATAAATGTTTACCTTTAAATAGTTCAATTGGGTGATTAGTTTTTAAACACCATCCAACTGGATGAATATTTGGACTATCGTCTTCAATCCAATACGCATATATGGAATCAAATCCATCATAAAGTATTTTAAGTTCATCCCCTTTAACATCTACTACTTTAGCAATTCTTACTAATGAAGGATTAGCAATATCAACTACTTCAATTGCCATACTATTAGTAAATTCTCGTAATGGTCTACGAGCAAATGCGTCTTCTGGTACAGGTTCACTATTAGTTTCTTTTAAGTATGTAGGCCAAGAAAAAGGTTTTTTCCCTCTACAATCTAAATAAATGTCAGTATTCATTTAGTATTCATTTATCAGAGTAAAAATGTGAAAAAAAAAATATATATTTACTATCGTAACCATGAGGTGGGCATAAAGTACGACCATTTTTATCACACCATCCAACTGGATGTATATTAGTTGATGTGATATCCGTCCAATAGTCAAAATCATCTGTCCAACCATCAAAATGGATACGTATACGATTACCCAAAATATCAGCAACAGTAGCAACACATATAAGCTGTTGTGGTAGAGTGCGGGTTAATTTATCTAAAGCTTCTAATTTAGCTCCAATACGGAATAAGTGTTCTATTTCACGATTCTAGGTACAACAATTATATTATATTATATTATATTATATATCCATATGTATAAATGAACTATTTATAAAAAACTAATGAAACAGTTATTATAAAAAAAATCCAGTACGTTTTATATTTATATAAGAATAGTTAGTTGTGCAACTTACGACAATATATATTGCACAGGGAAAATTCCATTTAGGAGCAGGCGTAACACCAGGTAATCTAAGATAATCAGTCCAACTGAATTTCCGATTATAATTTTTTGGTGGCTGTAAAGTGCGAGAGTTTTGTTCACACCACCGAGGAAAAAACAAATCTGGGCAATTTGCATTTACCCAAAAATCATATTTATCCTGGTAGCCATCAAAATGTAGCTTAATGCGATATCCTGGTGAAAATTAAAATTTAATTAAGTAAATCTTAAATATAACTTAAAGTTAAGTAAAAATAAACTTGATAATTACCAACAACTTCTACCACAGTCATAACACAAAATAATGCTTCGTGTTCTGGATCAATACCTTCTAATCTTTGTCCAACTTTAAAAGGGTTACAATCAGATGGAAAAGGATCATCAAACAATTTTTTTGGAGCAGGTATATAATTAGTGTGTTCCAAATAGCTCAATATTTTTGCATTTTCTTGTTTATGCTGAAAAAATACAAGAAAACTTGTAATGCTTATTAAACACAATTTAATTCTAAATATAGTTATACGTTTTCAATAAATGTTGTAGGTCTACTTGATTTTCTTTTCTTTTCAGATTTTTGGAAAGAACGTTTTACAGTTATTGGTATTGGTGGTGGCATCTGGCAGGCATCATTATCAGGCTGAACAACTTTACCCAAATCAATTGGTTGAGCTTCATTTTCTTTTCCGAGTGTTGATAAACTTTGCTTTCTTTTATTAATTCTACTTTTCAATTTGGCTAAAAGCAATTTTCGATCAATGACGGGTTTTTTTTGTGATTCCTCCTGTGGTTGTGCAATGACAACAGTCTTTTCTGTAGCTAACCTTAGTTTGGTATCTAACTTTTTACATACCAAACTACAATACATTTTGTCAATCATTTCAGATTCACTTACTAATGCTCTACAATATTCATATTGACAATGAATAAATACATTTTCACAGGGACCTAAAAACCCAAATTTTAAAGTGTAATAATATGGAGTAAGAATTAATAAACTATAAATATTGTTATACCTGGAGTTTGTTCTTCTTTTTTAGTATCTTTTGGCAAAAATAATTTTATAGTTTTTGGTTTTGACAAAAGTATTTTTTTTTGGTTTTCTTTAGCTGCTATCTTTGTATTCTGAAAAATTACAAGCTTAATTTAAGTACAATTTCAATAAAAACATCCAATATACCGTACTTGTGGTGCATAAACTTTAGTAGGAATTACTTTCATTATTTTATCAGTAGTAACTGTAGCAATAGTACCGTTGGAAGTACTACCATTATTTTTCAAAATTTTTATAAATAATTGTTTACCATCTCCTTTTGTTTGTGATTGGTTAATTGAACCATAAGGTACTAATCTAACGGTACTTAATTCATTATTAGAAAAATTACCTGTAATAAAACAAATAAAAGTAAGTAGTTTATAAACAATAATGTATAATAATTTATAGTTTATGCAAACCATATTTTGTGACAGTTAATGATTGACCATATGTTTTAAGTATTGAAGATTCGGGCCTTGATGACAGTTGAATAAATCCAGACGGAGTGCACAATTCAGTATTTAATTTAGTTTTCTTATTTTCAATAACCAAGTTTGTATTATTATCAATTACATCTTTACTCGTAATAGTATGGGGTATACACTTTTTCTTTCCACTTGTACCGCCAAAATCAGTGGAATTTTTGATTTTATTTAATGCTGATGTTCTGAATGTTTGTTCAATTTTTTGTTGAACATGGTTAGACTCTGAAGTATCTGTGATCTTAATTACTTTGGACTTTGGTGTATCTGTATGCGATTTAAGACTCCTTTTCTGATTTCTAATAAATGATTTTGAAGAACGTGGAAATAAAAGTTCAAAATGTTTGTTTGATTCAAATAAATGTCTGTTATTTTCATTAATTATGGTTTTTTCATTTGGTAGAACTTGGTATCTTTGATTCTGAAATTCTTTCCAGCGAACAACAAATTTTGAATTCCTATTTTGAATTTTTGGTTTTTCAATTGTATTAAACTTTTCAGCAACTGTTATTGGTATTATAGAATTCAATGGTTTTAACATAGTTGATGTAGAACTAAGACTTGGCAATAACTGGTTTTTGATTTCTTCTTTATTCGATGGTTTTAACATAGTTGATGTAGAACTAAAACTTGGCAATGATTGTTTTTTGACTTCTACTTTATTTAATGTTTTTAACGTAGTTGATGTAGAACTAAAACTCGGTAATGATTGGTTGTTCACTTCTCCTTTATTCAATGGTTTTAACGTAGTTGATGTAGAACTAAAACTCGGCAATGATTGGTTGTTCACTTCTCCTTTATTCAATGGTTTTAACGTTGATGTACAACTAAAATTTGGCATTGATTGGTTGTCCACTTCTACTTTATTTAATGTTTTTAACGTAGTTGATGTAGAACTAAAACTTGGCAATGATTGGTTTTTGACTTCTTCTTTATTCAATGTTTTTAACATAGTTGATGTAGAACTAGAACTTGGCAATGATTGGTTGTTCACTTCTTCTTTATTCAATGTTTTTAACATAGTTGATGTAGAACTAAAACTCGGCAATGATTGGTTGTTCACTTCTTCTTTATTCAATGTTTTTATTATATAATTAACTCCTTTCGGAAGCAAAAACATTTTAGACTTAGGTTCACTTGAAGATACTATTTTGAATCCGTGTTTCAATGTTGGAACACATTTATTAGTAAATCCACTAAACTTGGGTTGTAACCTTGTAATAATTGTAGTATTTGTTGGTTTGACAAGTCCAGTTCCGGGTATTAAAGAGATTGTTTGTGGTTTTTTAATTTGGCTAGATGAAGTTGGAGGAATCAATTTCACATTAGAAAGAACTGTTTTTGGAACAGCAATTTTTTCTAAATTTAAAGGATAATTGTTCGGTCTTATATATATATTTTCATTTTTCTTAGGTGCATTTATAACATATGTAGTTGCAATCACTTTCTTTAATGGATTCTGTTGATTAGATATTTTAACATCATTATTATCAACAGTCTTAAAATGTACTGTTTTGTTTTGTTCTTGTACTTTAGTTGAAGTAGATTTATTTAATTTGGAAACTTCTATACCACGTGTACTATTATTATTATCCAATGAGCCCCCCAAGCCACAACGAGAATTATGAGGTTCTATATTGTTTTCATTTTTCCTAGGTGCATTAATAAGAAAAGTATTTTGTATCACTTTGGCTAATGGCACTGCCCGTTGTACAGGTATTTCAACATTATTATCAATGATTTTAAAATTTTCAATTTTCTTTTGTTCCAATGAATTGTTTATGTTGTGAGCTTTTAAATTCTTTTCATTTATTTTAGATGAATTTATAACAGAAGTCGTTGCAATTATTTGCTTTACTGGCACCAGTTTAGGTATTTCAACAAGTTGAAAACTTTCAGTTTTGTTTTGTTCTTGTACATTAATTAAAGTAAATTCATTTGATTTGGTAACTTCTATACCACTTGTACTACTGCTGTTATCTAATGAACTACTTATTTTGTGATCTATTGCACTATCTATCGAATTTGAAACAGAAGTAGTTGCAATAGTTTGGTTTATTGGCTGAACTTCTACACCACTTGTACTACTGATAATATTTAGTTGATCATTTATCTCACTATCAGAATTGTGAGTATCTTCCGATGAATCCATATTAGTTTAGATATTTTTATCAGATGAAAATCATTTATTTCTTCAGTATGATTACCATATAACCTGAAAAATATTCGTAAATTGATTAAAATTTCTCTAATTATTATACGATTGTTATGTAAATAGTTTGTTCAATGATGGACAACAACCAAATATCTTTAGAGGTTTTAGGTTTTCACACCCACCAGTACAAAAAATATTATTAAATCATTAATTGTATTGACTTGTAAATGTTTAATTAATATTAAAAAGCATGTCATGTAGGTACCTAATTTAGTGTAAGTAACATTATTATTTTTAATCAATTATAATATTATATTTAATTCTATTACTAAAATAGAATTAAATATGTCATAACGTATTCTAGATTAATTACGACTTTATACAAACAAATTAACTCATGTACCTATAGTATATCAGGTATATCCAACTAAATCAATTACTAAACACATAAAAAAACAAACAATTAATTAATTTAGTGATGTTTAGTATGTTAATTAAGTCTGTACTAAAATAAATCATTTGATATTGGTATGTTATATTGATATAAGTGCTTGTTATTATAAAATATGTTGCCTTGCAATCATATTTTTTTTATAATAATATGTTAAAAAGTTGATCAAATTAGCCACTATTTGAATTACAATAATTTTTAATTTTCTCTTATGACAATTTTGAGGGTTTGAAAAATGTTATAGACAAATTAACTAAAGAAAAATTGTCAGTTAGTATTGAAAAATGCAAAAACACCTAGAAGATACTTGGGTCAAATTGAAACAAACTGTTGAAATTGATGAACGATAAACAACGATGACTGGATGGAAAAAAATTTTTTATCACTTAATATAAATTAAATCGGTTTGCATAATTACATGCCAACAATTACAATAGTTTTAAAGCTTCCTGTTGGATACAACTTAATAATACATACACGGTATGACGAATTGTAATTGTATGCCAATTAAAATGGTATTATCATTAAAATATTTAGGAGTGATTTATAATAGATTTTAATCTGAAATGGTCAGATACAGAACATCAAAAATAAAATGAGTACTATTATTAATTACTGGTTATTTATATATATATAAAAATGATAACTTAATTTAAGTTAATTGTAAGTTTTCTTATAACTTTTAACTTAACTGAGTTTAAAAAAACAAGATAAATATTCACTTTAAGCTTTAAAAAATGTTTTATGCCAACTTAACTCAATTAAAAATTATCATTAACTTGCTCAGACATGGATACAATTGGTAAGAATAAAATAAAAAAAGAGAATGAATAAAATAATTAGTGAACTTGATGATAATAATACTCGTTTTAATGAAATTATAAAACGTCAATATGTTTAAACATATCTTACCCATATGTAAAGGCAATGGTCATTTTGTTTCTCTAATATCTATCTACTATGTTATAATTAATTAATTAAATAGTATTTTTATTTGTACAAGTATTTTACTATAAAAAAAATTATAATATCAATACGCTCGGTATACCAGGTATGAGCTTATAGCCCACTTGGTATATGTACCAGTTATTATTGATGTAATTTATCGTAATTATTTAATTGTTATTGATTTAGATGAAATAAATAAATAGTAATGAGTTTTTTTTCATAGAAAATTTAAAATAATACCTTTTTTTAAATCTAACAAGTAACATGGTAATTTAATAGGTCTTACAGTTTAAAAAAAAATGTATATATTAAAATTAATTGCTGTAAGTAGGTACTAAGTCAATGACGAAATCCAATAAAATAATTATTTTTGTGTATTTGTTTACTTAATGATCCACAATTATACTAAATTAAAAATATAATATATTATATGGTACTGGTTTGTTACAGCCCCGCCACGGACAGTGAAAACTTCAGAGCCCCGCCATCCATATAACAATAAATACATCGTGTAAATATATAATAATGAGTTTATTTATTGATATTATAATGTTTATAATTCAAAGGAAAATACGTACCATTACTTTTAGGTACTCAATAATCAATAATATAATAAACCGATGTACCGGTACTGACAGAAATTGTTTAGGCTCTTACATGGTGAAATTTATGTAGCGATCAAAACTAAACAATAGTGATTCGTTTGACATCATCTTAAAAGATATAGCAGAATTTTGAGAATCACAGAAACCATAATTTTTAACATTATAAACATTGTTATACAATTTTTAATTTATCAATGTTTAAATGTATGGTTATTCCATTTTTCAATTTTAATTTTTTAAATATTATATCAATATACCTATCATCAAATGATTAGATTAATATCAATAAATACACTCATTATTTGATATTTATACAATGTATTTATTGTTATATGGATGGCAGGGCTTAAAAGTGTTCACTCGCCGTGGCGGGGATATAATAAACTAGGTAGTACATATTATATAATTATAAATGCAACTTTGATAGAATATTTTGCATTTTCAGACTTTTTGTCCAAGACATTTTGCAATGAAAATGTGCTCGGACTTCTTGTCGAACAATACAAAAAATGAGTCAATATATTTTGTACAATTTTTTTTCAAAATGCATATGCAGACAGCCTAAATTGACTATAGAATTTTTTGTTAATCTAAAATGTCCAGAAACTCAAAACCATTGATGGAATTACGTTGCATATTTGTATGCCCAAGACATGACTGGCGGGATTTGTAAATGAAAATATGAACTCACTTTAAACGTAGTCGAACTGCAGATGCGCAAACGATTCCGAAATTTCAAAATGGTATTGTTGGCCGTTGTCAAACGCGATATGTTCAAGTACAAAAAGAAGAACGCGAACTTTTTAGAGACATGCATACAAATGCAGCGATAACAATAACATAAACAGTACGCCGTCACTGGCGCGTCCGAACTCCAGGAGCTAATCGATAAGAGCAAACAAACGTGATAACGCTATTCAAAATACTAACAGAGACAGACGCAGACAACCTCGTGGAATGAACCGCGCAAAAATGATAACATCGACAAGCCGATACAGCTGTAGGTAACGATAGGAAAATAATATAAAACCTATAATAGTATGAAGTTTGACATAATACACGAGGAAGTAAGGATTTATAATATAATTATTATAAATTATAAATTACATCAAACATAAGTATACAAGAATGTCAGTTTGTTTGATTCAAACAACCACACTATTGGATTTAAAATGTTTAAACAATAATTTCAATATAGGTACATGTACACGTATTCGAAAGTAAATACCTAAATTTCATCTAGTCCTCTCAATAATATAATGGTATTTTGTGTAATATAATAATTATAATTATGTACCGACAAAATATGGCTATATATATATATATATATGCAAAGAACTAAAACCACTGCACAATTCGTATATTTACTAAGACCAATGATCATTTCTTTTGTATATATCCATAAAAGTAAATACGTATTATAAAATATTATATTGGACAGAAACGTTGAATGCTAGTATATTGACATTTATGAATTGATCAGCGTGAGCCATAAGTCAATACTGTTATTTTAAGAGTAACAAAAGTTATTAATTCGTATGTATATGTGTAAATATAAATCACAAGAAATCATAATACGTATAGTATAGTAATCTATACGACTAAACCTACTATAAATTAAATGTATTATTAATACAAGCTAATGCTATTATATTATTAATTATAATATTATTACCTTCGGAATTACACTATTCTCATAAGCGCGCCGAAACGATTACAGCAACAATAATAATTCAGCTGCCCGAGGAGCCTACAGGACTCATCTTCGTAGTCAATTAAATGCGTAACTTAGTAAATAAGTAATTTTCATGACTAAGAAATTTAACAGACTGTGCGAGCATACCGTACAGACCACCGAATAATGACAAATGACGGTATTGTAAATGACTCGCACCATTGGCCGTTTCCCGATCGATCGCCTTCGAACAAGTTGCTGGTCACTGCATTATGATAAACGACGCGATTCTTCCATGACTGGAGGCTTTCCACTTGGAGGTAGAACGTATATCGCTCCGCCGACATAATAATACACGCAGTGCTGGCGTTAGGAGGGAACAAATGGGACGTAATAATATGTCCGGGCCCCGCGCTTTTTTGGTTTTAAATTTTAATGGGCCCCGAGATTTCCGGTCTTAATACCGTGAAACACATTGATCAACCATCATAATATTTATTACTTTGTTATTAATGTTTGTAATTTTTGAATAATGAAAAAATAAAAATAAAATTTAAAATTATAAATAAACATTAACTTAATATTGTATCATATAAATGTTTATTACTGTAATCCAAACTAGTTAAGGGTAGTAACTAGTGAAGTAGAACATCTATGTGCAAATTAAATACTATGAATTTTTAATATTGATTATTATTATATAAAATATAAAATCAAACGATTAATATAAAGTGTACACCTACACATTAGATAAATATGCTATGTTTTTTAAAAACGATATTTAAATTATTTAAACCCAATCACAAAATAAATCTTTATTGATAGGTTCGAAGATTTTGATCAATACAATATACTAAATTTTAAATCCAATACATATTACTTTATGAAGCATTACAAATAATAAAGCAAACAAGTAGAATCAATAAATTAGTAACAAATAAGCAGTTTAATTTAAACTGGTGTATGTACCTAGTAAAAATTAAGATATAATATGTCTAATTGAGTGTTAGTGTTATATTAGTCCTAATATAGGACTAACACACCAAATATGACTGTGATGTGTACTTGGAGGAAATTTGGTGCATACATTTATAATGTTAATATTAGAGTTACAAGTCTTTAACACAACATAAAATAAAATTTTAATTGTAAATCGTTTTCCACCAAAAGTTGATTATAGTATAACTGAATTTACCAATTGTGTATTAAGGTTATAATTTGTTCATAAAATATAGTAATGGAAGTATATAAATACAATATTTTCTAAGATGTTCTAATAACGGAATACCAGAATACTTAACCAAAACAAACCTCATTGAGTTGTACATAGAATTTGGAAAATTAATATACTTGTTTAGTATTTCTGGACGATTTAAAACATTTATTACCTCACTAATGCATCTGCTAACAGAAGGTTGGCTAACAGCAGAAACTCTATTTTTCTCTATATCTTGCTGATAACTCCTACTGTGACAAGTTACAATAAACTGAGTAACTTGCCTAATAAAGAATTTATATGTCAGCCTTACTTGCTGTTCCTGAATGGTTACTATACTGATCTCCGTAATAATGCGGTATGGATATTTATTATCTATAGAGCAAATCCATTCTATATCATCTATGATTCACCAGTGTTTGGTAAGTTGGGTTTTATAAAAGGAAATTAATTTACAGTACTTATTTGTTATTTAGAGATTAAAGCACGTACTGAAGTTAGGTACCTATTTCAACCGTTACTCAAATAAAATTGTGATGAAATTGATTTACTTTTCAATGAGAAAAGTAACTTTCTTACTGCCAAGTAAAAAAATACCGACTTACAACGGTATTCCTGTAATTTCTTAAAAATCATCAATCGAGAAACAATAGAAGTATATAATATAAAGTATAGTTATAGGCGCTAAACAAAACTTAAACGAGACAACAAAAATAAAAAATTGTACTTGGATAAGCTGATTAAATAAACTGCAGAGCAAGTGAGTATATTTTATCTAAAACATTAAAAACTGAATTGTGAAGTTTTAATATTTTAAATAATAAAAATTATCTGGATATAGTTTTTACCGATTAATTAAATTTTTTTTAAAATCTCAATCTGAAACAACTTAAATGGAAACATGTTACATATTTGTTCCTAAGTAAATTGTATAACACATTGCAAACAAAATAAAATGCTAACTTTAAAAAACTTTAACTTTAACTTTAACGTGTTAGGTACTCACTAACTACCCAACATTGGTGTAGTGGTATTCACACACTAATATTTACTTAATATTTTTTATTTTATTGAAATATATGATACTTTTTTGGGGAACTACAACATAAATGAATAAAATTAAAATTATATTTATTTAACAAACATTTAACATACGTATAAAAAAAATATACAAAAATTATAAATGCTCCTTGTTTTCCATTGTTGAAAGTGTAACTGTAATTAAAACCAACTATCAATATTTTTAACTAAAACTAAAAATTTGTACAGAATACAATTTTGAATGCTGGTTAAAATGACAACATTACAATCATTTGAAATTTATATCATAATAACTTATAGTAAACCATCAATAAAACACTAAAATAGTAAATACCTAGGATACAAGTCACATACAATTTGAAACTGAAACTCAACTTATTATAATAGCAATAACAATAATATTTTAATCAGTACTAAAGGAGATTGAATATTATAGCTTACACTATAGTCTATAATATTATAGTTTCAAACTTTCAAACAAATAGCACAAATAATAATTTCATGCATCAACAAGAAAATTATAATATCTTAAATTTGTATTGTTTTTAAATTTTTTTAATCCATATTATCTACAAATACAAAGTATTGTGAAACTGGTATTGTACAAAATAAGATGAAATTTGTATTGAATCTTATATAAAAACAATTTAGTAAAGTTTTTAATTAGCTTACATGTATTAAATTCAAAAGGAACATAACATTATACTTAAAAAATATCTCATTGTGGTTTCGTGTACCATTTTTTTTTTAAAATTAATATAATTATTTTTCTGAATTTTGAATTTTTATTAATTATTCATAATGTTATATTTATTATAATTATAGAATGTTTACAACAGTGGTTAGTTTGTGTACAGGATAATTTATGTTTAATGCACAAACACCTACAAAAAACAAAAATGGCTGTAGTTATAATGAGTATTAATTAGCCAAAATCAGAGGAATGTTATGAATTGAAACAAATTCTCTATGCAGAAAAAAAATGCTCTTTGGTTATTACATTGATAATTTACTTAGTTTATAACGAGTTAATTTTAACCTTGCTCTTTCTGAACTTAATCATATCTTATATTATTATACACAGTCTATTCAATAGTTCAATTATAGATGTATATTGTAAAAGTTAAATACAATTCAAAATATAAAAATGAAAAAATAACAAAAAATGATTGAAAACAGTGATCTTAAACAGTTAAATTTTATTTTATACAAAAATAACTTTAGAGAATTGAGCGATAGCATTGAAGTATTGTAGTATGACTTTTTTTAATAGTACATTTTAGGAAAATATTTCAATGATTTAGTTTACTTCTTCCAATCCACAACTAATCAGAAATAACACTTATGAATAAGCTATTAAGCATAATAATGTATTAAAAAATATGTACATTTTATAATTATTCATTGTTTAAAAAAAAAAAAATTAAAATAGAAACTTTGGCATAAATATAAAATATAAATTAGGTAGACATTTTTCGGTGGAAAGTAAAAGTATTTTAATGTTTCAAAAACACTTAAAAGGTAGTTGGCAGTAAAATGTAGCTTAATAAAAAATATTTTCTTAGTGAAATATTTGAAAAACTTAATCTTAAATTACTAGGTATCTATTTTAAATAATTTTGTTAGTAGCCTACATACTAGATATCCTTATATATAACAAGGTTAATCATAATGCTTTTTAAACAATTAAAAATTGTTTCACATAATTGTTAATGGTATGAAAATATTTCAAAATTTAATTTATGGTGGACCACAGTAAATTTGTAGATGGTAAAAGTAATATTAAACAAAAAATAATAACAAACGATAATACAATATTACTTTTCAGTATTCGTTAATGATTACTGATTAGTATTACTGTGTTAGCAATATTCAAGAGGCAGCCATATCCAAACAAAAGTGAAGTACAACATCAAATTATGACCTCCACATAGGATTACACTGAAATTTGTTGTTTTGATTGCTTAAAAATACTTACAAAAATGTATCATACAATCATGTCAATATAACTAAAATATTTTAAAAGCATGTTTATTGCAAAGTATTATGTAACTTCACAGCTTGTTAGCAATGGTTTTTAACTAATGAATGTAAGCTGATATCTTAAAAAATGCTCATTTTAACTTAATTTAGCCACCTTAACAGCACAATTCAGATAAATTGGTTACCACAAACAAAGATATTTTTGATTGGTATCGCTACAGAGAGAGAGGTTACTGAGTACAGGTACTGGGCCTCCAATGCATAAAAGCACGGACATATAATAGAGGAATGCTTATAGATGTACTAAATATATGTTTAAGAAAGGTCTGCACAGGCCATGATAAGAGTGCATATATATGCCTTCTATACATGAAATAAGGGCACTCAAATTGTGGACATGATATAAACACAAAATAAAAATTATATTATTTTCATGATTAAATTTAAAAAAACTTGTTTTTATACTATTTTAAATTTTGAATTTCTATAATACTTTTTAGTTACTTAAATGTATATTAATAAAAATAAATTATTGTGTATGTGTGTGCATGTGTGAGAGATCCATAGCAAAGTCTATGCTCTTGTGGTTTTGAAATTTGGTACATAGGTAATCTTATAACCAAGGATGAGTACTTCAAAGCCAATTTTTTTCTGTTTGTATAGAGTTTTCATTGGAAAATAAAATAGTTACTATAGTTGAGCATGATTTTAGACTGGGTCTTTATACTTCGTAAACGCACATAATTGGCTTATTCAGTACATAATACTATTTTATTAATATTTAGTTAAAACAATTGATATAAGACTTGGTACTTAAATTAACAGTGTGTATCTTGAAACTGGTCAATTAAATATTAATTACCAATTAATTTAGTTTATTGTTTCTCCTGAAAAGAAACAAAAATGAGATGTATTGTTGCTGTTATGGTAGTAATATGTAAAGTAATTAAAGTATCAACTTATTTAAAAATTGTACATACTAATTAAGGGCCCAGTGTCCAACGACCCTTTTATCTACTGGCCAATAGTTGAAGGATAAAATTCTCAAAATATGCATTTCATAAACTTAGTTTTTTTTACAAACAACCTAATAAAATTAATACAAATTAAGTATCTGTTCTTAGTAACTATTACCTGATTTTCATTTATATAAATTAAATCAGAACAATTGTTTATATAGCAATAGGTACTAAGTACCAATGTGGCAACATTTACAGGTAGACTGCATACGGAACTATAGCAGCCTGTACAATACATCCATCCAGTTTACAATAATTTATGTAAGTTACATAACAATTTAACTTAAAGCAAAATATATAGTGTTTACACCAATATAAAATAATATTTAAAGTAATAAAATATACAGTAATAAACCTGATAGATTTTCCAGTAACAATCAGAATAATTTCTGAGCCATCTGCAATAGTTACTTGGCATTTTTGAATCCTGAAATGTTTTAAATATTTCATTATTAAGAATGCGCTTTTTGATAGAAATATAGCACTATACTGGTGAACATTAATAAGCCATGATGCACAGCATACATTCAATACCTACCCACTCAGCACTCTTTATCCCCTTAATATAATACATATATAATAATCATGTGACTGTAAATGTTTTTATTTATTTTTTATATTATTGGTTACTAATATGTATCCCACCAACCAATCACCTCCCAAAACAAATGTACTTATCATATAGTATATCATACATATATATTCATACAGGATAATGACATGGATATTAGTAAAACAAATTACCCCTCCCCCCACCTTAGTTAGACTTAGGGCAGACAAACTTAAATGCAGTTGGTGTGATTAATATTTGTTTGATTTTTTGTTGCATATAAAACTTTAATTATTGAATAAAATGTTCTTTAATCAGTTTAAACAAATGTTTAACAATTCAATATGTGTTTATAAAATTCAACCAAATGGATTTACCCACCAAACTATTTTGTAATATAGTTAGGTACCAAAGATAAGTTTTATAGTATTATTAGTAGGATAGGCATCTAGTGAAGATCATATTATAATGGTATATGTTATTTTATTATACCCTAGTATAGTTGATAAAGTATATAATATATTTAATTTGATGTCAGTGTAGCAGCTTACATACAGCCATAAGAGAAATTATTTTTATGTAGGACCCTTAAATATTATGTTTTAATAGTTAACTTGGTATGATTCAAGTGGGGATTAAATAAATCATAGTTAATAAACTAGATTATTTTATAATAGTTAGTCAAATATTTGAGAACAATGCAGTGCCGTATTTCCCAGTAAACACTATAAGCTAGTGCTTAGGGCGGCAATTTCTCAAGGTAAATAATTTTTAATATTACATTTTTACTATATGTAACTAGAACTAAAATAAAATGAAACTAATTATAAAATGTTATAAGACCAATGGGATTGTGGTAATATTTGTATTTTGTGTTTTCCAATTTCATAATCGTAGAGTTGTATGTTTTTATTTTTCATCATAAAAATTTTAAGTAAAAAATATAAACTATAATTGTATGCTTTAATAACATTTTTTAGACTAGAAAAAAATTTATATTAAAAGGCAGCAAATTATTTAGTGCTTAAAGCGGCACGATGGTTAAATCTGGCACTGGAACAATGGGAGAAAATAATTTAACTAGGTTAATATTATATTAAATGAGTAACGAATGTATTGATTTTATAAAGATGTATGTTGTTTTGTGTATGTATATAATATTGATTTTTAGTGTAATTCAAAGACAAAACTGTTAATACAAGATTCCTCATCAATTTGTTTATCTTTATCAAAAAAAAAGTCTACCTGCGAGTCAAATTAAATTTTAATGAGCATTTTGAAGTTCAAATTTTTACAATATTGGATGTTTACTTGATTTCTCACGGAGTGATATTCTTTTTTGTTGTAATTCATGAAATTTTCACAGAACGTTTATATTAGCGCTATGAGTATTTTTAAATTGTAAATTGTTTGTACATTTTATGTTTACTCATAACTCGCATTAAAATAAAAATAAAATACAATTCCTATGAGATATCCTAGATAAACATCTTACCTTTAAATTGTATAAGTGATAAATGCAGTCTAATTTTTAAACTGTGGCAGATAAAAGACCTTCTAAGCGTGAAATTTACTCTGTTGCATACTTGTAAGATAGAGACAACAAAATATATCAGTGTAGTGTCCTCTTAAAGATAAGGCACAATGTTTTTTTACAAGCATTTAAAGTTAACATTTTGCCAAAATTCATCAAAATCTCAAAAAGGGAGAACTTGAAATTTTCACCAAATGTTTATACTTGATACAAATTTAAAAATATTTTAATATTTTTTGAGGCATGTATGGATATTTTAATATTTTAATGTGGATAAATATTTTTTTACTCGGTCAAAAAGTTTGAATATTTAATACAAGGTTCCTAATAAGTTGCTATTATAGATATTTTAAAATATTTACAATATACAGGCACAATTTATTATAACTAGCATTAATTAAAACTTCAAATTTTGATAAAATCAAGAAAATTTGCAATTCATTTTATAATTAAAAAATTATGAAATATTCAATTTGTATTGAAGAAAAAAAATTTATAGTTACTATAAAAAACTATCAATTTAAATATGAGATATTGTTCAAAGCTAAAATCAGATAAAAAAACAAAAATACATTAAGAGCAAAGGAAATTCATAACTCTTTGTCCAACAATTATATATTTATAAATCACAATTGAACGGCTACAAATCGCAAATTAAGGCGAGCCAAAATGACAGTTAAAGAATACTAGTTTAAATTTGTAAAGACTACATTAGATGGCGTGTACACGAGAAAAAATGATGGTGATCAACTCATGAAGATTGTCTTATTAGTTCAACTACAGAAACTGGATACTAATAATAAGCTTGATAATTATTTAAATAAGTAATTTTGAGTATTTCAAACTTAATAAAATGGATCTTTGATATATTTTTCTTTTTATGATGGTTTTTGATTTAAATATAGTACACACCATTTTGTTCTGTAATAATATTAATACAAATATCATTGACAATGTATCTGGCATAATTTTTTGAAAATACAAATTTATGATGATGAACTTATTTTATATTTTAGTACTATTTCATATTGTTTTGATTTAATTATTCGGGTTGAAACATGGCTAGATACTGATTTGAATATAGATATTGTTGGTTTAAAATGTATCATTCCTTAAAATGATTCAAATAATTTTGACTGTGGTAAGGAAACTAATAATTTAAATATAAAACATACACTAACTATAAACATCTCATCTTCTTAATAAAATCATATAATTGGCATGAATTACTAATTGATCTAAATGCGGATATCTTCTTGTTGAATGTTTTTAATAATAAAATAAATGAATTTATTGAAATCTCCACTTTGGTACTACCTATTTCAAATAATTTATTAAAAAAAACAAATAAAATAAAACCATGGATGTTTTATAGCATGCTCGTCTCAATTAGAATTAAGCAAAAATTACAGCTTAACAACTAGCACCTTTCAATGATAAATTAAAACAACATTACATAAAATTCAATATAATACAATAAACAATTTGGTTTAGCATACAAAAAGTTCACTCTTTCTAAATGAAATATATAAGAATAATTCAACACCACTGACAAAAATGAAATTTTAAATGAACTTAATAAATATTATGTAAATGTGGGTACAAATATTCATGATGATATTATTTCTAACAATTTTAATAGATTAATCTGGAATGAGCTAAACAGAAATTTTCGTAATTAATGATTCAATTTTTCTTAATCCTATTGATCCAAATGATCCAACTAAAATAATTACCTTAATAAATTAAGAATATTACAAATGTTTCTTCATTCAATAAATATGATATGATAAATCTAGTTTAAAAAAATACTGTATGCTCCATATCTATACCACTATCTATAATTTTTAATTGGTCTCTCACAGCTGGCGTCAATCCTTCTACTTTCAAAGAAACTATTATTGTCCCACTTTATAAAAAGTTTTACAGTAATGAGAGACCAACATCCCTCACATTTTTGAAAAATGCATAAAAACATTAATTAATGAAATTTTTAAATAAATGTATATTTTTTAATAACAATTAATTTGGTTTTTGTTCAAATATGTCAACATTTAGTAAAACCATATCATTTTATACACAATAATCTAGACAACAAGTATACGATTCTAGGCATATTTTTAGACTTGATATATTGTGGTATAAGAGGCAAGGCCTTACTTTTACTAAAATCATTTATTTCTAATAGACCACAGAAAGTTTGACTAAATAATAATGATTGTATAATTACTTTTTCAGTTTTTCAAGGCACAGTTCTTAGTCTTATACTATTTATAATTTATATAAATGGTCTTTTAAACATAAATTTAGATGCAGTAGACACTAATATTGTTAAGACCTAAAATTGATGAAGATTTGGTGAGATTGGCTAATAAATGCTTAGATAAAGTTAAATGTTGGTGTAACAATTATAATTTACAAATCAATTTAAATAGATCTAAATATATGATATTTAATATTAATAAGAAAATAAATAATTATTGTTCAGATCAATCTCTTTGTACTCATACATATAATTTCAAATATTTAATGTGGATAGCTTTAAACATCTTTGTATTATTTTTGATTATAGACTTAAATTTAAAGAACATTTTTAATATGTAAATAACTTAGTAAGAAAAGTTTTTTTATAAGTTAAAAATTCTTCACCATATGTTAGATAAGAATACATAATATATAAATTAGTAACTATTATATATTATATATATTAATAATATATAAAAATCGATCTATTTTTAAATTTAGTTCAATAGTGTGAGGGCGATGCTTATGGTATTCGTCTCAATGAATTATCTGTAACTAATAATTACTTAATTTCTATCCTACAAATTAAACATATAAAGAACTTAATGTTTTTGCTTAATGATCTACTTGCACGTTTTAATTTAGTCTTCATGCTTAAATTTAACCGTAATGAGTATTTAAGTATTTTATAAAACATAATTATAGCACTAGGTCAAAACAAAGATTTAACTTAGAGTTCTTATCTGTACTAGAATTCTTTGTTCCTAAAGTCCAATTTTTAACAACATTTTCTAATTGAGTGTATACGATATTCAAATTGATAATTTCAGTAATTATATGGAATTTAAAAACGTTAATAATATATTTGAAAAATAATGCATTTTATTACTTTTTAAGTATTTGCTTTTTTTTAGTTAATTTAATTTAAATTTAAATTTTACTATTTATTAATATTGTCTTAGTACATTAAAAAATGCTCTTTATTTCATTTATTGTTGATAATTATCATAACTAGACATTGAACTCATTCCGACCGTTTATTACAAGCTCTGATTTTTGGTTGGGTTTTGTTGCTCAACTTTATGTCATAAATATGCTGTATTATATTTTATCCCACAGAAAAAATAAAGACATTATTATTGTTATTATAGTGAAAGCTTAAAAATTCAATACCAGATTTTTCATAACACCATAGCTAGTTTATACAGTAACCAATTTTTTTCAGTTAACCCATTTTTTACAAAAAATATTTTAACAGATATTTTATGATCAATTTCGATAAATTTAAATATTTAAACAATTTTAATTGTTTGTTGTAATTTAAAAATATTATTTGTGGGTACTTTAAAATTTAAATATTTTATACACAATGCCATTTTATATTATGATGTTTTCAGCGAAAATTAATTTAACCTTCTCTGGCTACTGTATCATTGATAGTGAATAAATTACTTTAATATCAATACTATCATAAAATATACTTAGTAATATAAGCTGTAAGGATCTTACAGTCAAAAAAATTAATTAAACATTTGCTTATAGCAGAAAAAATTACCAGTTATGGTTACAGTCGACTTTGCCATTAGACCCCAATAAAATTAATACATTTTTAAAGCCTACATAAAATGTATAATATTATGAGGATGTCTACACTCGGCATTGGCCATTATTAGTTATTGGTTTATCATTGCACCACAAATCTGCCATGGTGAGACTGAGTAAGTAGGTCATAAATAGGTAAGTAATATTATTTTTAATAGATTTTCAATTCTATAATGGCGAGGTTTTTGAAAATCTAAAAGAGAAAATTTTTTATTTGAAAAAGAATGAAATTTTAGGGTTTTAGGGTTCTAACAAACTAGCAACTAAAATGTTCACTAATATTACTCTCGTAATTATGTTCTTTTACAAATTTACTAGGAAATAACATTTTTTCAATGTTTATAATCTTCAAAAAATAATTGTTATTTTTTGTGATTTCAAACATTCCTATTTTATCCAAGTCCCAAAAAATAAGTACCAAAATTTTTTTTTGTATTTTAATTTGCAATTTTCCTAAATATGTATTGAAACAAAACAAGTAATTATATTTATAAAGATAATCAAATATTAGTATCTACACACCGTTATTATGGTTACTTGTGCTCTTGGAAATATTTTGAACGGATAGTTCTTTTGGCATTGTGATCATTTGATTTCCATTTAATCCATGTTGTACGTTGGCAGTTATAACAGTAGAGTTTACTTTTTTGTGTATACATATATTTGTTGAAAATTTAGTAGAACAATTTCTAACTTGACAATCTTCTCCATGTTTAAGTATTGCTGTTGTAGATATATTTGTATGAAGTGGAGAGTTCTTATCAAACCTATTTTGTTCTGAGTTATAGAATATCTGTGGGATAGATGAATTTTCATTTTTAATTGAGAAGGGTATTTTTAACAAGTCATATTTTGATGGCACTGCAGTTGTGGTTTTTTCAGCTTCATGTTTTGATATTTTTTTTAAACGCTTTTTTGAAGGGCCATCACAGTTTGTATTTAGTTTTGAAGATCTTGTAATTCTTGTGCAATCAACACTAGGAGTATACATAAATTCACTTTTTATTGATCTAAGTTTTTTGCTTGAATCTTCAGATGTTTTGGACACAGCAGCTAAAGTGTTTCTCGTTTTACGCAATTTCACACGGTCAGCTATTGACAATACAGGTATGTTTGTTAAATGTGTATTAGAATAATCTTCATAACACACTTTCAATTCTTGGGATACTGAATTTTTTTTACGAGTAGAGGTATTTTGACGTTGAACAGGAACGGGTTTTTTGAACCAGTCTTTAGATTTTTCAGGAACAAGAGTTGAAGTATTTTTAGCACCACACATTTTTAACTTGTAGTTGGGCCTTGCCGTATTTGGTTTTATATTTCTTGCAGATTTTGAATGATTAATATTGGAAGTATTTATATCTTGAATTGACATTGATCTAAAGAAAAATGAAATATTCAAGTTACAACCTTTTATTTTATCAACTGTAAACTATATATTATTTAACTGAACATATTTTGCCAGCTAACATTTTAGGTTGTTATAAAAATATTTCGTTAAATTTAAAGTTATATGTAAGTTATAAAACAAGCTTAGTTCAAATTTAATGATTGTTCATATAAACATTTAAGCAGTCTTAAACTATACATATATTTCAAGCAATTAAAATCAGTATTTTATTCGTTTTGTCAAGAGTCTTTAACCTAAGAAGGCGCTAAACCCACATGTGTTTTCACCACCTTAAGAAAAAGGCATCGTACAACAACATCGTAATAACTGTTTTTCACTTGTAACTTGGACTGTAGTTCAAGCTGAGCAACCAAAATTTTTCTTACAAAAAGAGGAGAACAATTACTGTAGAACGGCGTTTTTATCATAATTTAACTAAAAAAAAAAATTATTCAAGTTTGAAAAACTCAAAAATGGTGAATTTTTAAACAATAAAAACATTTTATAAATTTGTGATATGCAAAATTAAAAACAGTCAATTTTGCTCCTTCTTAAAGTGTGAAAATGTAATTGCTTAGCTTGGACTACAGCCTGAGTTGTTCTTACATTTTGCATTCGTAAGACACTTTCTTAATTATATTTTTTTGTTATATTCAATTGTTTTTGATGAATTGAAAAAAAAATATTATTTGTAAACACAAGTATTGTGATAGATGGTATATGTATAATTAGTTAGTCATTGCATGAATTAGGCCATTCATTGTTTAATTTTAATATATTCTATTAACATTTTTGTAAAACACTGATTATTTAATCTCAAATGTATTTGTATTCATTCCAACAACAGTTTTTAAAATAATATTTTACTTTGTTAAGCTTAATACTTTGATAACAGATTGCATAAATAATTTTTTTTAAATTTAATAAATTAATAGTGTGCTAATTGTCTCTAAAAACTAATTTAGTGGCCCATGATTGGTTCATTCCATTTTAGGTAACCATTAAATCAATTAATTTTTATGCAACCTGGTATCAGTCTTTTTAATATATTTTTAACAAAATAGTAGTTTTATTGGTTTTCTCTGGTTGATCAAAGTCAACTTGATCAGATTGAATATTGTGTCACCATAGAAGATACATAATACATTTGGTTTAAAATGTGTTTTTTGTTTATAGTTCATCAACAATTAATTATATTATTGGGGCACCCAATTGAAAATAACTTATTTTACGTTAACTCACTTATTACCTAGTATTTTCAACTGTAGTAAATCCACTGGTACTTGGTTGGACCATTCCATGACTACCATTTATATTTTTTTTCGTATATTTGTTCACCAATGCGATTAAATTTTCAAGTTTAGTATCACTTAATGAATAAGAATTTTGACGTACTTTATTTGATGCCTCTTCTAACAACCCTTCTAATTTATCGACATCTGTAGCATTTACAATAGCATCAGTTACTGAATCAAAAGAAGTAATTTTAAGTACTGCCGGTATAAACAACAACTTCCAACACTCAATTATATTGGGATCTGTATGAGAGCCTTCTCCGATTAATTCTGATATTTTATAATAGCACGTACAAAATGTATCGGATTCCAAAATTTTTTGGATTTTATTATGATCAGCATTTTTTTCTTTTGTAACTTCCCATTGTAATTTTTTAAGTTTTGTCAATAAAACATTACTTTTCTGAAATATATTATTACCTAACATCTTAAGACCAACGAATAAGCTTAAAATAATCATTAAAAACCCATGTTCAAAGTCAGAATCGTCAAAAATAGATGTTAAATCAATAATATTTGTTAGTAGCATTTTGTCAAGTTTTTCAAAATAATTTATGTACAGAACTGCTAGCTTATGAACATTCTGAGCCATAACATGTTTGTCTTTCCAACTTAATATCAAGTTTACTCGTGATATACAATGCATATTGGTTAACATGTTCATAAATATTATGTTGTTATTAATAACCAAAGTATCTTGTACATTTTTATTGAAATATTTTTTATGTAATTTTTCAAAACAAAGCATTGTAAGTTTCTTAGTCCCCAGTGATGGAAAAACAAAAGTTGAATTAGTTTGTGAAACATCTGATTTTTCTGTACCAAAATAGTTCATTTTAGTAAATTTGGCATTTATTGTATTTACATTACGTACTTTGATTTTACCAATTAATGAGCTACTCTGTTTTACTGAATCCTTGAAGTCTTTGGTTTTTTCTTTCTTATCATGGTTTATTATTATATAGTTTTGATTATTTAAAGGCCCAACATCATTTTTTGTGTTCAATCCATCAGGTAGTGTGTTGAGATGAGAATTTTCTAATGGCTGTAGTTTTGAATATTTAAGTTTCGATTTAAATGTATCCCCATTTTTTGACAGTATCAACTTTGGGATTTCCAACTCAGTATCTTCAGTTTTTAAATTCTTTCGGTTAGGTTCTTCATTAGTAAACTCATCTGTTTCTTCAGTTTCTAATTTCATTCGTTTAAGTACTCCATTTGTTTTGTTCTGTTCATTTTCCATCCGTATAGGAATCCTAAAATATGAATAATATTTTATTATGTTTCTAAAATTATTATAAAATATGTGAACTCATTAATTTAACTACTTATCAATTGACATTAAATAATGTGTTATACATTAACAAATTATAAGTTAATTATAAAAGATATATTTAATTTATTATTATTATAATGATATAATAATATAAATATTATATATTATTATTATAATCAGTTGTAGGTAATAATAGATATTTAAATATTTATGAATCTATCATATGTTTTGATTCAAAGTTTAATTATAAAAAAAAAAACTTTATATTGTGTCAAGTATTATAGTATTAATTGGCATTATAATAGTAATAATAAAAACAATAATAATTTATTATACATACGGAATTTTTTCTAACAGTACATATGGTTCATAACTAGTAAAGGAATCCACCATTGATCTCATTGATTCAACCGACTTCATGTTTATTTTGTTAATATCACCTATAAAAAGGAAATGAGTTACATCATATAAACAAAATTTACTAGAAAGACCAAAATGAATTTTAGTAAATTATAAATTAAATAAAGAGGTTTAGGTAATCTAATTTTTTTAATTTTTTTATACATAAATCAATAAAATAATTTAAAATAATTTTGAACCACAAATTATAATTTAAAAAAATTATAATTAACTTTCAAATATACATATTTAAATAAAAACCCTTCTATTCCTAATCAGTTATCACATAATTTTGTAGTTCCTATTGGTGTTCTAATCCAGGGCAATTATTATTTTAAGTTTTCCCAAATCCTAAATGATAACTATTTTGTTTTCTCATTGCAAGTATAATGTATGTGTATTGTGGTACTGGGCCAATATCCGTTAAATAACAAAGTAATTAAATAAATATTTAATTCAACTTTATATGTTTTGACCATTATTCATAGTACATACACAAGGTGATTTACCAAGCATGCTAATTTAATTTTTTCTTCAACAATCAAGTACATCTGATTTTTGGAATTTTTAAATGTACTTAAATACCATTTTTTCAAATTTGTAGTACTTAAAGAATGTTCTGTGGAGATATAAACGTCTGTTTTTCAAATGAAAACTTCCCTTTTCAGTTGTAAATTAATTAGCGGATAATGTTTCTCAAATTATTGACAAATCTGAATCAAAATTTAAATAAATAGTTTTTGGGTTAATTAACTTTGTTTACTAAAGATAGTAGCTCCATAATAATGGGTTTGGATGATACGGGGGCTAAAGCGATTTGAAATATTCAGTAACTAATACTAATCAATCATCATCTATAATTTGCGAAAATGGGGTTCAAATATAATAAAACTAGATCCAATATTATATCTATTTTATATTTTTATAGACTTGGTATAAATATTTTAATAACTAAAAATTACTCAGAAGAATTTTGAATGAGTACATAAAAAATTTAAAATTAATAATTTACAGTAAAAAAGAGTGTTCTCATTTGAAAAACAGAGGCTTGTATCGCCACAGGACACTCCTTAAGATAGTATAATCAAATCTTAAGAATTTGAAAGTATATTTAAGAATCCTAAGAATCAGAATTTAAATAAATACATTAATAAAGAAATTATTTGAAAAAATGGGGATAATTGTGTTTGGTGAATCATTCTATATAATATAAATATAAACAAATAGGCAATTCAAATTAATGAAATACTTTCACTCAAAATAAACACCTATTAACTATGCTTGTAGCCTAAAGTTAAAAAATATTTTATACACTCACAACTTGCTTAAAAATTAAAATAGTTCAAAAACTCTATATGTAAACACAGATAATGTTCTTACCTTAAAGTTTGATAATAGATCAATTTACTCTATTATATTAAAGGTTACTACACAAAATTGAAACGGCTGAACACAAATTTGGTATGTCATACTATTATAATAGGAAGATGCACATACAGTTGTGATGTATTTTCAAGTCTTAATGGAGGAATGCTCAGAATTTTTGCTTGAAAATCCTAGACATAAATTTTGATTATTACACAAAAATGTTATAACCAAAGAATATTTAAATAATCAAACAAAATAAAAGATAGAAATACATGATAAATATCTGTATATAAAATTAAAATCAATAAATATAAAAATAAGATGAAATGAATTATGTTCCCAACACAGTGACCAATACAATTTAAAAATTAAGTCTAAATAAATTTAGTAATAAGTGACATATGACACTTATTGCTGGTTCTATTCTTATGTCAATGGCATCTCATGTAGTACAACTTTTGACTTATCACTTATGATTCATTAGCAAAAATAAATCCTTAGAACAGACTGTCTTAAACTTATCATAACAAATAAATAATATAACTCATTATAGTATTATTTTATTTGCTGCGATATCTGTCATACAGTTTGCTGTAAGTATTTAATTTGGATAGTCATAAGTCATAACTGTATGTTCTACTTAAATTTAAAACAATAACAAAATATAACTTGAATATTAATAATTGTTTAATTTATCTGGATAGTTAATTAATTAATAATTTCTAATAAGCCCTATGGGCTAGGCATGACTGTATAAGAAGTATCTGCTGTAATCATGGCCAAATACATTTTATACAGTTAGTAGATACCATTACTATAATATCATTATAACTTATCACTAATAGATACTTGATGAGAAATACCTACATACTATTTGGTTAAAATTAGACTAACTAATGTTGCTAACTATTTGTATAATGATGAATGCCTTAACTATTAGCAAATATTAGATTTATAGTTTATATCTACTTATCAACTTGTAACCATACGGGGTTTTAAGGTTTCAGCCACCACTTAAAGTAAGTTTATAGTTATAGAATGGATCAAGTAAATACCAAAATGTTATAATTTATAAGCTACCTACAAAATTTACTTACTGCCAAACTTGAAAATTTGATAAGTTTGATTTTTAAGTGATAATGGTGGCATATACTTCTACTACCATAGAACATAAACACAAACGACAATCAATAAATTGGCAAGGCTTAGCTGGTTTAAAATTATCCCACATTAGAATAATAAACCATGTTAATGATCAACGAACATCCTGGTACGTTTTTTTTGACACTGGTTTCGCCTAGCAAATTTATAGGATACGTGTACAGTGTACATTACTATAATACATAAAAATAATTCTATTGTGTCTAAGCCACAATAATATTTGCCGCCTGTTTACTATCAACTATTGTAAAATAAAATATTATATTGGTAAAAAGAATAATATTTTACATAACATTAAATAAACATAAAATAAATTGATTCTTGGTTTAACCAAGAATAGTTACAAATTATTAATTCAATTCGAAATATGGTGAAATTGAAAATAGGTAAAAATTATTTATGCATAGAAATAAAGTTATTCAAACATAGTCCAGATATTTCAAATGGTACTTCAGTTCAAACAATTCATGAAGGGTTAAATTGATTATAAATCACAATTGGTATTTTTCCTAACTTCTCTAATACTTGACAATACTCGTTACATGTTGCAGTTGTGGACATCGTTTCTTAAAATTTAAAATTGTTATAAGTTAACTTTGAACAACAATGACTCAAACCAGATTAGATTTACTTATTTCGTTACTTATTAAACTAGAGAAAACAAACACAGTGAAGACTGTGTGAATGATATTATCAAGGAGTTACTATTTACGATACAACACATCAAATGATTTTATAATATAGTAGGCACCTATAATTTGTCTGTTCAATTTTTAATGTTAAGTAAAAAAGTTGTATGCATGTTAGAATTTTAGAAGCAATTATTTTTGTATTGAATTGGCATTTTGCTTATGATTTATCAGTAGAACAATATTATGAAATTAGTATGTATGTACACATATTTTCAATTTGTACTTGTGTATAGGAATTTCACTATTGAATTAACTATGCTGCACTTGAGGTTGATTTCTAGAAATGTCCATGCTTGGTACATGTTCACTATGCTTTGTTAATCTAAAACCATAATGGAAAACACAGTCATTTACTTCTTTACTAAAGCTTTTTTCAAACAATCTATTTCTCTTGGAAATTCAAACGTATTGAGTTATATCACAGTTATTTATGAAAATAATAAGAACTTGTACTGTTAAGTATGACAGCCAATAATTGGTTTATAGCTGAAGATATAGTATTTCCGTACTGGACAATGCGGAATTAAAATCATCAAACCCACTGCTTTTTCGTTCTATTCAATATAATAGTAATTGCAGGGTATCACAGGTAGTCATTAAATATGGAATTACATTTATAATTTATGAATCTTTTAGGTCGTTTACTTTTTGTGTGTAAACCTACTGTGACAAAAACACAGAAAGTCATTGGCAGTCGGCACAATTGAAAATCGACAATATATAGTTTGGAAATGCAAATGAAAAACCACTAGCAGACAAATGGACGCTAACATTATTAACTATTATTAACTACCTAATGATTAATGGATAAGAATAATTATTCACGGATAAAAATACCAATAAATTATAATAATGATTAAGTTACCTATAAGGTAAAATGTAAATTATTTTCTGGTTGAGATCACGAGACGAATCATGTATTCACCTAGTTGTCTTCCTTTCTGTTGAATTCCTTGACTCAGGACATCTGCGGAGAGGAAAATCGTCAATAATCTGTAATAGTCTGGCGACTACAAACAGAAGCCGTCATTAGATAAGTAGACGTAATCACAGTGATAATATTATTACATCATTGCCCATTTTGTGAATACTTGGAGACGAAACACAGTTTCTGGAAGGCGTTGCCGTGTATGGTAGTATTTGTAGTATTGCTTTGCGTAGGGCAAAGTAGACAAGTAGAGAGACGCGAGAATGAGCGGCAAAAGCGCATCCTATAAACGTGGGATTACGGATGACGGATGACGGAAGCAGAAATACTGAGCATTGAAAACCGACTATGGACTGCTGGCCACCACGAGCAAACACCTGGGACGTTACGCAGTTGACTCCGATGAACGCTGCTGCCGTTCACGAGCAGACACCTAGGACGCTACGCAGTTGGCTTCGATAAACGCTGCTTCCTTTCCCGGGCACCCGTCGCGCGTCGTACGGACACAACTCGGTTTACAGTTTACACTCTACAGCAGTAGCTGCTGCTGCTTGTGCGCCGTTGCGATAATTCAGAATGTGACGTCATTCCGACGTTGCCAGATCTTGTTTTTAGGTTTTTGTCTCTCCGCCCTATGCTTCGGGTCGTCACATTTCCCCTCTTCAACGACAATTACTTTCATCACCCAAGCCGACTAAAATCCGCACATTATTGATTTTTTCGTCAACTGCCTGCGCGCGCCGCCGTGTGCGACAACCTTCGTAGTGTTCGGAGGGAGTTGATCGTCGGGTCCCAGTGATAATAATTTGTGGAATGGGGGACGTACTACTTTTTTATACGTCTTACCTTTTTACTGTTATTATACAGTAACAGTATACTAGTTGGTAGTTATTATTATTATTATTATTATTATTTATTATAATGATCGTCCGTCGTAGTCGTCACTATTATTAATAATGACATAAACTGTTTGGACGCATAGTTTATATATTTTATAATATATTTTTTTATATATTTCGTATTTTTTTTTACATAGTTGACGCCATATTTTATCACGCCTTGTGCTACGTGACTCGGGCAATGCGGTGAAAAACGGAACAGCTTGTATTTCGTCGCTCGTTCTAGCGATACAGCATAGTCAGAGTAGAATTCGCTCGCTTTCGCCGCGTTCACCTAGTTCACGTAGATCATAGCGCTATGGTCACATTGCTAGGAATAGTTACCGCTTCTAGTCCATTTACCATATTTCACGTTTTCTAATAATTTCGACGACCGAACGTAAAAAAACAAATACCGCTAATGCATGACAGGTGAATTTGAACTCTAAATATAATATTAATAATATTTAGAGTTTACCTAGGTTATAAATTATGATTGTTGGCAAGATTTAATAAGGTATATTGGCTTGTACCTATATCGCGTTGGTAATTGTATATGGGTACTAGATAGTAGACACTATCTAGTAGTTGGTACTTCATTAATCATTACACTAGGCACCTAGTACCTACTTACTTAATAAAATCGAGCACTCGGTCATGCACTCGTTTTGCTGCCAATATTGACCGAGTTAGTATCTACCCGCATTCTATTCGGTGGGGGTAATAGTTGCCCTCACCACCGAGACTTAATGTACTACTACTCGGCACTCTACTCGACGCTCGGCTGACAGACGATGCTCAAAGTACAGCGCATCTTAGTAGGGGGAGTACCACTCCCGCTAGTGTATCGAAACGGTTTCTATTCGCTCGCCTATCAACTAGGCCGATTCTGTACTTTCTGTTTAGGTTGGTGTAGTACTAGGCCAAATGCTCATCCCGGGTAAACTAGGTTTTAGTTATTTAAAGATTTACATCTCATGTTCAGTAGGTTCAGCTCGTTACTGATTCACGGTTCACCGAATTCAAACATTTAAAAAAACAGGTAATTTTAAATGCGATTACTATAAATATGCATTATAACAATCTATAACATACTTTATACAATACGTTTGTTTATTTTGTTTTTAAATTTTATTTAAGAGAATTCTATACCAAACATTTTTAAGGAATTCGAAATAGGCAATTTTCAAATTGTATGCATGTGAGAGTCTAGTAAATGTGTGAGTAGAAAGTGATAATTTGTGTGTATAACAGTGTAAATAAAATAGCGGAGCGCTCTCGCAAGTGCACGTACAAGTCTCCACCACTTTGCGAGTGAACGGCAAACAACGAATGCTCATTTGTATGAGCCTTTTATCAATCCTACCGATTGAAATCATTTTACGATAAGACTTCTGAAAACTGATTTGAATTCTTTAATATGTCTACTCGAGATCTACCAGGCCACATTTTAAAATATTTAATTTAGTTTTCGAATAATTAACATTTTAAAGTTCTTACATTTTAAAACAAAATGTATAGGAGTGTAGGAATAACATTTTATCTCAAGTAGACATATTAAACAATTCAAATCAGTTTTTAAAAGTCTTGTAGCGTTATCAGGTTCATCTTTATGTTTGACTAAAGGTTGGTACATTTTGGTTTAAATAATAATAATTTGCAATCCTCTTAAGACTACCCATGCATTTGTTGTCTCCATCTTATTACATACGTACGAACATTTTCCTTCGCTAATTTCAATAGTTTAGATATTAAAGTGAATTGACTTATTATCATAGTTTTAGGTAAGAACATTATCTATGCTTAAGCGTCGGTTAATTTTTGGATATTTTAATTTGCAAACGAGATGTGAGTATTTTAGATTTGTGTTATTTCTCATACTCGTATCTTAGTTGAAAATGAAAATATCGAAATTCCACCGATGCTTAAGGGGGCTGGAGTGTAATACATTCTAAGGAGTAAAAACTAGGCATTTTATATTGCAGTACATTTGGACCATGTCAATGTGTTGGAAGTAAATGAACATTAGTGTGTGTAATTCGTAATAATGTATTCTCCGAACTACACTATCGTCTATTCGTCTAAAAACCGGTTTGATATTTTGGCCGCTGTCATTAAACATGCTGCAATTTCCCCGAATCTACAATATTACTAATGACGATAGTAATATTATTATTGTTTATTATTATTTATACCCAATTAAATGGAAATAAATAATAATCAATACTTCTTGGTTAATTAATTCATAGCTAGATAACAATACTACAATTCTAATAGTATAACTACCCGGCTACCATAATATGCCGCACACATATTTCCTCCACATATATTAAAGTGGCGGTAATTTTAGCCAGACACAGTTTACAGGTACTGCGATGACACATCCACAAGACAATAGCATTTGCATTCGACAATATGAATATGGGTTAGTGGTACAAAAATGATGACTTTGTTTTTATAATTTTGAATAATTTAATAATAGTTGGTTAGGTTATAATAGTTTTACATGGATAACATCATAATTCATAACAAATGTATATTGTATACCGTAATCCGTTTATTTTTAATTCGTCATTAATATTTCTTCTTTTATCAAACTCGGCAAAAGATGTTCCAAATAAAAAAGTTCCAGTTTAGGTTTCATACTATTTGTGTCTGTACGACTGTACTACATTACGTCTTTACGTGTACGAAAGGAATAAATCTCATATTTTAATATTTATAAGTAGTTCTAAACTATTTTAGAAAAATATCAATATTTTGAGTGTCTAGACAAACATTTTTAACTATTCCTGTATAATGTATAATATAATTGAATACCTAAGCATAATAAATATAATATCTCTAAAATATAAAACCTGCTATTACCTAAACCTTTAAATATAATAATATATTCTGTACATATTATTATAATACTAATAATCATTAACTAGTTGTGTACGATTCCCGGAATAATACCGATTACGTATTTACGTTGTATATGCGCGTCATAGTGAAGCTGGAAATGTGCGTCTGTAATGTTACCTAAGCGCATGCACTTGTCAATCACATATTACGCTAAAAAATGACAAAGATATTTTTTTCAAAAAAATAGTGCCAGTGACTTCAATCGTTACTCATAGTAGGATGTTCCGATTTCAATTTTGAAAGGAGATTTGAATTCTCCTCTAATTTACTATGCTTTGACCGTCGTACATTTTTCATATTCTATATAACTCTAAATTAATTTGAACTATGAATATGATGTATTTTTGCTCTTTTTGTTAGTAAATTTCAAAGTAATAAAATATAAAAATCAGAAAAATGAAAATTTCAAAGCATAGATAATTTAGTTACGAATACAAAACCATGTTATAAATTAAAATTGGAACATTATATTGGGCGTAGTGATTGAAGTCGTGAGCTATGTTTTTGACCGAAAATGAAACATGCTCCAGCGCCCTTAACCATAGATAATGTTCTTACCGAAAAGTTTGATAATACTTAAATTCACTATAATATCCAAACTAACGGCACAATATTCAAACTAGTGAACGAAAGTTTGCAATGTCGTAAGTTGGTAAGACGGTGACAATAAATGGGTAGTATCATCTTAAGAGAATTTGATACTAACCGTTTTTAAGGAGTTCAATATAGACAATTTTCCATGTGCGCTTAATAAGTGGTCATTAGTGTGAGTGACTGTGTAAAAGAAATAGCAGAGCGCCCCTGCACATGCAGCAAGGTCGTGTCAATAACACACCACACGAATATCGATTATTTTGGTTTTTTTTTCGGTAAAAATTGTCAATCTATTGCTTATCATATAAACTAACCTATTTATCCGATAAAATGTCTGAAAACATATTTTAATTCGTCATAGAATTTTCAAATTTTCTTGAAAACGACTTTCTTACATTTTTAAATTCATTTTTCCACTTAAATATTATTAATATTAAAAAATTCTTAATATTCAAAATTAAAAATTTAATTTCGAAGGATTAAGAAGCTTAATTTAAAAAATCAGAAAACCACTTTCAAGTAAGGTATATGAAAATCGCAAAAAAGTTTTCAAAAGGTTTATTTCATGATTAGAATCGACGGTACAATTTGCATAAAATATGTCTATTTTGGTAGAAAACATAGACATGATAGAATTAAATTAAATGATATCATTAAAATTGACTATTACATTGGTATATTAGTTGTAAGTGTATTTAATTTTAATTTAATTACAGGTTTTAATTATTGTTAGGTAGTTTAACAGAACTTATGTGTAATCTGTCATAAATGGTGAAAAGAAAGGTAAATTAATGCGTAATCAGCAACTAGTCCAAAACCCGATATAGGTAATCTGCAATATTATGTGGGTATGCACTATGTATACAAATTACAACATTGGGAAAATTATGATAAGTACCAACATGAGTCAAATTTTTATAAGGACTATTTATATAAGTGTATATACTTTTACAGAAAATATTGATATGGTAAATAAAAAGGCTGAAAATAAACACGGAAGTCGCTGCATCCTTTGCTATTTTTCAAAAATAAGTACTTTCGGCCCGGTAAATATATTATGGGGATGTCAGGTCAATATTTGTTTTCTCTCTCAGACTCACCCATTACGGCCATAACATATGTTAGAGTATATGTAAAAATCACCTTTAAATAACATTATAGATAAGGGTGGCCAGAT